ATTCAGCACGAGCTGTGCCCGCCCGGATTTGTATTTGATGTCCAGCTGCGAGCCTGTGCGCCGGGCAAGTGTCCGCGCGTGGATGGCGAGTGCTCCACGTCCACCTTCTCGCCGCCGCCGCCAGATGACTGCCAGAATTCGGAGGTGCAGTGTGCCTTCCATGGCCAGATAATTCCACATGACGAGCATTGCCGCTTCTTCTGGACCTGCGTGGAGAACTGTCCGCGGCTGGGTTTCTGTGAGATTGGCAAGTGGTTCGATCGCAAACATTTCGTTTGTGATTTTCCCAGCAATGTGCGCAACTGCCCCGCGGGCAGGGACTAAAAAGTGGAACAATAAAAACCTGGGCCCGAACAAGTCAAAAAGAAAAGAAGATGGTTCGTGAAGTGGCTTCTGCTTGAAGCGGGGTTTGAACCAGCATGTGGTTCAAATCGTGTTTTGTTGAAGACTTTCACGTAGTTTTACTGAATTATTGCACTTTGGAAATGCTTTCGATACGGCCTTCTTTTGAACTCTATTACATATATGGTTAAATAAAATGTATCTAAATTTTGCAGTTGGTTTTCCTAAGAAGATTTTCCTTTTACTTTTCGGTTCGTGTCTCGGTTCAGCTGTTGATTTCTTTCTTTTTTGTCTGGGATTTGGTTTAGGGTTCGGTTCATGGTAAAAAGTAAATTTAAATAGCGTGCTCGAACCGTTTCGGTTCAAACTGGTTGGTTGCCTTGCTTTTAGCGCTCATTAAATTGCAATTGGCGGCATGAATAGGCAACAACAACAACAACAACAACAACAACAACAACAACAACAATAGCAAAAATTATGCGTTAATGTACGCAAATTGCTTGACACAATTTTTATTTGCGAGTGGGCGGTTGGGCGTTGGGCGGGGCGGCTGCTGCGTGTTCGTGTGTATTTTTTTTTTTATTATTATTACTGCCTCGTTGTGTTTATTGGTGTTGTTGTTGTCGCTGGCAAGCAACAAATTTAGCACGCAACTAACAATTTTTAGCTGCTCCAGATACAACAACTGCCACCGACACACACACACACACACACAAACACACACATCGACACACCTTGACGCAAGCAAACGCAAACAAATGCTAGAAAAAATCATTTGTGCTCGAGCGCACCGAAGCTGAAATACCCTAACAGAAAAGTTTTTAAAGTTTCTCCAAAATTTCCATAAAAAAAAATTTAGATTAAAGGATTTTTGTGCAATTTTTAATAGAAAGGGACTCAAATTGTTTAGATTACATAAGATTGAGTAGAAAAACAAAAAAAAATTGATAAGACTTGATAAAAATCAAATATGTTAAAAAATAAAAAATTGGTCAAAATGAATATTATACAATATAAAGCTTATATAGAAAGATTCGAGTCTCTAGCAAAGATAAGAAAAATTATATTTTATGCTATCTATGAAACATTTCTCAACTTTCTTAAATTTCTTTCTACGAACTATGCACTTAACATTTTATAAAATTCAGAGGCTATTTCGAAATAAAAACATTTCAATTAGTTGTCAAATACGGTTGCATAGCTGAAGCTACCCACGCAGCAAGCATAGAAAAGCAGCAACAAAATAACGAAAAAAAAAAATCAAGAAGCAAACTTTCACCCAAGTAAGCCGCAGCATTTTGGACAATTTCGTAACTGGGTAAACACACGGACTGCTGGCAAATGTGGAGTGCATAAAGTGCAGCACGGCGACAGCAACAAAAGCAATAGCAACAGCAGCGACAGGTGAATGAACGACCTCAAACGAGGTCAGCAGCAACTGCGGGCCAAATTACGCCGTTGGGTTGTGGGGCCAGGGCAGCGGCCGGAACCGGGGGCCGAGCCAGAGCCCGAGCCCATTCAAGCGCGCAATAAAGCCAAAAAAAAAACAAAAAAACTAAAGAAAAATCAACTATATGCAGTATGATTATGTGAATACTTTGTTGCTGTTGTTGTTGTTGTTGTTGTTGTTGCTGTTGCTGTTGCTGTTGTCGGGCAGTTGATGGCAGCTTGGCTGGCAGTTGGCTTCAGTTTCGGATTGAGCTTCGCATGCTAATGGCCAGCCACATGCCGGTCAACAGTGTGCAACATTTGGGCCACTTTACGGCTGCCGATTCACATTTCTGTGACCCAAATCCTGGCCTGGCACACACCGCGTCGCAGATGGATGTGCGCTGAATGGATGCTGTGAATTCAAACAAGTTAGTCCCTAACTGCACGCCTCCCCACTCCATCTCTGACACTATCATTGAAGCCATTTGGCTGCACTAAATCACTTAAGATGCTTTCAGCAGGCAAAGAACTTTAGGCTTAGTCTTATTTATGTGACTGCTCCGGCCTGGACTCTGTGCTCCGCTCTGTGTGTATAATGGATGATGTTGTCCTGCACAGTTTGTCGATAGTGCCAGAGAGTGGGCGTCTAGTGTGGCCTGTGGATGGCCTGTGGGTGGTGGGTGGCTGGCTGACTGCCTGTCAGGTGACTGGCTAAAATGTGGAGCAGCCTGTCTAAGCCGGCACGGCTGAATGGCTAATGCCGTAGATTATGGCCGGGAAAAGCAGCGAGCGCAACAAATTATTTATGTGAGCCACAATGAAATGTGGCATTTGCAGATAAATATTTGTTTGGATTGATTTTGTTAAGGCACTTGATAAGACTCAACTTTAAATGTAGCAAATAAGTTCTTTATGAGAGCCGCAAAGGCCTTTGGCATAAACATTGCCTTCTAATATGAATCAAGAATTTAAATTATTTATTTACCATTGACTGAACCTTAAGTCGGACTAGTTGAATCAAAATTAAAAAAGTTGTAGCTCAAATTTATTAACAAAATTTTTATGAATATTATTGCAAAGTTGTTTAGATTTAGGCATTGCGATAATCAACCTTACTTCCTTACTTTCGTTTTTAATTTCCTAATTTATTTCTTACTAGTTTTGTTTAATAAACATGCAAAATATTGTAACTACTTGCGGAATTTGAACCGGCGACTTTCCAGTTGTTTGTCAGCTTCTATGCTATGTATTTAAAATTGAACGCGGTTTGGGGCTCCACTCTAAGAAACACTTGGTAAAAATCTGTGAATCAAGGCTTAAACCAACTGGTGAATCTGACTGGTTCGCTGGTTCAAACCATGCTGCGGCATGCTACATATGTTGCCTATTAAACTTGAATCTATTTGCAGTTTCAAAATATGAGAATCTTATGTGCGAATTGATATCACTTTGTGATACTTTGTGATATTGAGCTGCTCCACTTATTGGCAGCTTTATGAGGCTCTCGAGTGCCCAATCTAGCCTTCGGCTGCAGGCGTACCAAGTCAATAAAAACATCAACAGCGAACAACAAGCTGGCGAGAGCGGGCGCTAGGCAAACAAATCGTGCAGCTGGCAGCGTCGGCGCAATGAGCTGCTAATTGAAGACACCTTAAAAATAATAATACAAAAATAAACAGAGCAGAGCGCCCGCCACAAACAATTAGCAGAGTTGAAGGTGTATGCAGCAACAATGTGCAGCTCTTGTGTGTTGTTGTTTGTGTGTGTGTGTGTGTCTAGTTATTATGTCATAATTAATTTACGAGCTGTGACAATTAACGAGATGAGCAGCTGATACAAAGCGTGACTGCAGTACAGCGCGCACAAGGCCAGCGCTAAAAAAGTGGCCCACAGATGTGGGTCAATGCATTGGCCAAGCCCAAACGATCAGTTGCCGCTCTGCTCGCTTCTCACTTCTCACTTCTCGCCTTTCACTGCCCACGCGCATTTTGAGTTTTCCGGGCGCATGCTGCGTATGCGCAATTTCTTTCGCCTGGCTGTGGCTTGAGCAAGGTCTTGGCCTACTCGCTGACCACTTTGCACAACTTGAACAGACATCGCCGCGCGCCGTTTCGTCATAAGTGCAACAACAAACATGTGTAAAAGATACAAAAGTATCTTTTGGATTGTCTGTTGCTGTTGCTGTTGCTGAAACGGACGCCGCCGCCGGCTGTGGCGAATACCACAGCAGCAATAACAATAACAATAACAAAAACAAAAACAAAAGCAAGACAAAGCACGCACACAACAAAATCAGACAGTTTTTTATATTGAGCACAGTGGGTCAATGTCCCACTGATAAAGTGAGCGTCGCCAGCGTCAGCGCCAGAGCCAGAGCCAGAGCCAGTTGCTGCTGCCACCAGTTGAGAGCCAGCAGCAACTGGAGCAGCAGCCGGCTGCCAAAAGGCAAATGCGATTTTAATTAATAAAATATGCTGTGTATTTGGTTGCACAAAAGAAATTTCACGTTTACATTTTTGCAATTTGTTTCGTTTGCCTTCTGCTGAAAACTAAAACGTCAAGCTAATGAACATTTTCTTTTTATAAATATGCTAAAAAATTATGATATTTATTTTGTATTTTCGTTTTTGAGCGGAAGCAACAACAATTTGCTGTCTGCCAAGTTAAATTTTGGTACAAATTTGCCAGTTGAGCTGCTACAAGAATTTTGTTGCCCATTTGCTATGAATGATACAGTGGGTGCGTCCATCTGTCTGTGTGTGCGTGTGTTTGCTTTAGATTTATGCGTGTGCCACTTTTATTGTGTGACATTTTGGCTAAGATTTAAATATAAATTGCTTTAGAAACTAATAAATGGGTTTCCATTGCGTGTGACGCAAACTTTAAGTAACAAAGCTAGCAACGTGTTGCTATGTACGATTAATATAAATTTTAAATAATGTTGCCCAATTCGTTGATTGTGGCGCAAAAATAAAATAAATGTGCGTTATAGTTAAAAGCAAATATTAAAATAACGCCGCTTAAAAGTATGCTACATTACAATTACTAATTTTATGCACAAGTAAAATGACACCTCTTAAAAGTATGCAACACTTTATAACATACACATTTATTGAGCCGCAATTGTTAAGTATGAACATTATTGTGTAGCATACTTTTGCGCTGTTACTTGGCGCTTTAATTTGAATTTGAAAGCCAACTGACAATTCTTTCTCTCTTTCTTGCAGCTGTGCGTTATGGTCGCGTACCCAAGCGTTCACGTGAGCTGAACGGTGCGGCAGCAGCAGCAGCCGCTGCAACAGCATCAGCAGCCAGCGCGCCCCTAAATGTGGATGAAACCAGTGCCAATAATTTGCATACAAATCTAATACAGCAACAACAGCAGCAACAACAACAACAACAGCAGCAACAGCAGCAGCCGCATGCGAGCAGCGTGCAGCGCGTAAATACACCAAGTACACCACAAACGCCACAAATGTGTTCGATAGCCTCGTCGCCATCGGAGCTGGGCGGTTGCAATAGTGCCAACAACAACAACAACAGCAACAGCAACAACAATAGCGGCAATAACAACAGCAATGCAACAGCTGTAGTTGTGGGCAACCATCATCAGCAATTGGTCAGCATGGGCAGCAGCGGGGACATGGCCATGACCCAGGTGGGCATGTGCCATCCGCACGATCATCACGACAGCCTTGCCGGCACGGCCAACGAGCTGACCGTCTACGATGTGATCATGTGCGTCTCGCAGGCGCATCGCCTCAATTGCTCCTACACCGAGGAGTTGACACGCGAACTGATGCGACGTCCAGTGACGGTGCCACAAAACGGGGTAAGTGCCGCATCAAATTCAACTATATCTGTCCGATTAACGGGCGATTCATTTATTCCTTTGCAGATTGTCACCACGGTGGCGGAGAGCCTCGAGTTTCAAAAGATCTGGCTGTGGCAGCAGTTCTCGGCGCGCGTCACGCCCGGCGTGCAGCGGATTGTGGAGTTCGCGAAACGCGTACCCGGCTTCTGTGATTTCACCCAGGACGACCAACTGATACTCATCAAGCTGGGATTCTTTGAGGTGTGGCTGACGCATGTCGCCCGCCTCATCAATGATACGACGCTGACGCTGGACGATGGCGCATATCTGACCCGACAGCAGCTCGAGATACTCTACGATGTGAGTGAAAAAAAAACCCAGAGCGAAGCCAAAGAACGTACCAATATCTGACAGACGTGCCCACGGATCCATATGATATAGAAGTCCAACTTTCCAAGCTTCCCATACCAAAACTAGATTTATATATTTATATATATCCAATGAGGATAAGCGTTTATTCATGTAGTATTCAAATGCATAGTTTAGCAAGGATATTTTCATTTTATGATTTTTTATTTTAAGTTTGATCTCGTTTTGTTGCCATCGACTTGTCTAATACGATTTTCCATTTGCAGTCGGATTTTGTGAACGCCCTGCTGAACTTTGCCAACACGCTAAACGCATATGGTCTGAGCGACACAGAGATTGGTCTGTTCTCCGCGATGGTGCTGCTGGCATCGGATCGGACGGGCCTCAGTGAGCCGAAGGTGATTGCCCGTGCCCGGGAGCTGGTGGCGGAGGCGTTGCGTGTTCAGATACTGCGCTCGCGAGCGGGCTCAACGCAGGCGCTGCAGCTGATGCCGGCGCTGGAGGCTAAAATACCGGAGCTGCGCTCACTGGGCGCCAAGCACTTCTCACATCTCGACTGGCTGCGAATGAACTGGACCAAGCTGCGCCTGCCGCCGCTCTTTGCCGAGATCTTCGACATACCCAAGGCGGACGACGAGCTGTAGATCCCACAAATGTTCTACAATCTGTATGTTTAAGTAATTAGCGTTTAACTAAGAGTTGGCAGCATTAGATACAACTATCCGACATTAAAGCAAAAGGCAACCAATTTATCAGATACAAGATACAAGATACAGATACATAGTTAACTACAACTACAACTAAAACTAAAACTAAAACTAATGTAATGCATTAAATATTTAGCAATGTTGAAGGCGTTCGCAAACATTTGAAGCAAACACACACCAACACTCACACACACACACACTCACACACACACACCTGCACACCTGCGATTATAGACTTTGAGATACTTTTAACTGAGAAATGTTTTTGTTAATTTTGAAATCATTCTAAAGCAGCTTGAGCACTAGCCGTACATACTTCATGCGCAACATAAGATTTATTTATTTCATTGTCAAGCTCATCAAATCATGCCCTATAAATCGAATCGAACCTATCCATAATCCCGCTTCCCAACACGATCCCCACATTATTTGCAACTTTTCAAAGAAACAAAAATAAAACTAAAAAAAAAAAAACTCGACTGAAAAGCGAGCGTTCAAGTTCGAAAAGTACTGTTTACTTTCTAAAAAACAAATAATAATAATATTAATAATACTTACTGTATAATTAAAGAACTACTTATAAATATATCAAATATATACAAAAATATATATATATATATATATATATATATACGATGTAAACCTAGAGTTATCTAGTGTAGTTCAAGCAAAAAGACCCAATTTTCTTTGCTCGTTTATTGTATCTGCGTGTAAATAAATTTTAAATTAATTTTTAACATTTAACAACGGCCACGCCCTGATTATTATTTCTTTAAGTTGCTAAAATGATGCTCTTTCGCGGACCGAAAAAAAGGTTTCCCCGCGAAAAGTGTTAACCGACGACGGCCACAGACGTCGCCATCATCATTCGAAAAGTGTTCATAATATATTCGTTTATAAAAGATATCGCATAAACTTAAGTGCTTCATTTGTATAACTTGGAACAATCAAATAATTTGATGAATTTTTGAATAGATTGGTGCTAAATTTGGTGTATTACGTTTTTGACAACCGAATACATAGTTCAAGTAAAATAAATCATATATATATATATATATATATAGATAAATACTATATATCTTCAAAAGTCTAAAGCTCTTCATTAATTGTTGAATTTATATAGAAGATTTTGTAAATTTTATTAGTGTGAACAAAAATCATATTATAGTAAATATATATATATAGAGGTAGCTGCGCTCAAGACCTGAGGGCGAGAATTGGCGTAGCGACCGTTTTATGCTCCATGTGTACCTTTCGCTTATTCAACTAGAATATGTATCTAAAGAAATAAATAACATTTGCAATATCTTAGTAAATTCTCCACTAAATGTTCTAGCTGCAGCTTATATCCAGAATCTATTCACTAACCGATTCAAATTGAGAACCAGTGTAAAAGCCAGTGCGCATATTGAAAACTTTGTGAATGTAGCATTAATTATTTGATTTGTAATAATACAATGCATAATTAAATTATACAATTATATATACGATTATATGTAGCTCATAGATACACTTTTTTACCTACTGTAGCTTTGATTACATTTTTCAATGATGTGTCAAATTTTAAATGGTAATTACGGTTAGTACAACATGCATCAAATACTCTACACAAAACGCATTAATAAACTCAACAAAAAAACGAAGATAATGTCAAAGAACAAACGTCGACTTCCTACTATTATAATGTATCTATCAGTCGCTGCTCGACAAACTCGATGCAATAAATTTATAAATGTATCAGATGTATCGTATGTATATCCAAATAGCTTTGCTATAAACTAAGCAAGTGCACAACTATACTAAAAGTCGCGCCCTTCGACTAACTAAAGCCCAAGCAATATGTAAAGCGAATAATACGCGACAAAAAAATAATAATCATAATTAAAAGAACCATTCAAAAGATTCTATTTAGTAACCGGCTCAGACAAGCAAGTTGTGTGCACTGAAACGCAATGCTATCTGGTCTGAGCAGGCATTTCATGTTCAAAGCTCTATATGTCGTCTATCTATCAAGAGTTTCTAGATTTCTAAGGCGTGTCTGTCTAGCATTTGTTTTGCCCTGGGGCAAGTTTTTCTGTCTACATACAAAACGAGTTCGCTTAACTATCAGCTAAACAATGCAAGTAATAGAACCAACAGTATGCATAACGATAAGCTACAAAAGATACGTAAACGTATTCGCAAAATGAATAACAAAAAATTAAAAAAAAAAAAAACAATTATTATGCAAATAACAAACAAATTAAATCGCAAAACAAGCGCCGCAGATTGTAATAAAATTACAGACAAGTACTTGAAAGCAAACAAACGTCTCTGAATAAACTGAATACTACTATGCTGGTAGCTATACAATTAAATAAAAACCTTTATGAAAGAGCTCGTTTTGTCTGGTTGACTGACTGATTGACCGAGTGATACACTGACTGACTGACTGACTGACTGACGTTAAGCAGCTGGAATTCGTGCAGAGACTTCCTATTGGGTTGAAAGTGAGCATCAAGAACTTTTTTTGATCCATCGATTTTTTTGAATTCCAATTGATAGTAGGAATGCGCACAAATTCAAGAAGGCCTAACATTTTAAAATCAGACAATATTTACCCGAGATAATGCAAAAATATCAACATAAAGGTTTGATTTTCGAACCGATCCATATTTTGGGAATAAACATAATGTAACTCCGTTGCTTTTTGGTCGATTTTGTTTTGTCCTCGTCCTCCCAATTCAGTATATATAATGAAAAGGACGAAAGTCCTTTTAGACAGTATAGATATGATTGCAATTCTTCCGTTAATTAACAAAGCTATAACTCGGCCGTATTCTTGCGAATCCTGACAAGTCCTGTATCGAATAAATCGTATAAATAAGGGCGATAAACTGTCCAAAGGACATCAAAATCGTCCTTGCCGTTTCCGATATATAGCCAATTTTCTAAAAAGGATATTTTTTAACTAGCCATAACTCGGCCAACTCCGGAAGGACATCAGAAGGATATACGGTTTTCAACACGTGGAGAGCAAACTATCGATTGGCATTCAAGGATTGCAAGAATTCGATAAAAAATTTCATTAAAATGTATCCTAGGGGGTTAGTCGCAAAAGTGAGAAAAATCGAAAAATTCGGGACTAACTTGGACATTTACAGGACTATCGGGATGTCCTTTGGACAGAAGATAATGCTCGTCCTGCCATTTAAGAAAATATAAAAAAAAGGACGAAAGTCCTTCAAATGGCGAAGTGTTAAGGACACTATTTGCATGAGAAAATGGGCCATAGCTCGCCCATATCCGGGTGTATTCTCACAAATCCTGCGGCGAATAAATTGTACTAACCAGGACTACGAACTGGCCAAAATTCATTAAGCTTGAAGATATTCCAGGATTTGTGTTTTCGGGGCATTTCTGTGCGCTCCGAGATGAAAATTTCACAATTAAAAATACAAGTCCTGGGGTTCTTGGATGACCCCATATTTTTTGATGCAGATCGATGCAGGGGGTCTATGCGATCTTAACGCACCATGTCCTTTGAAAATCTGCACGGAATTGCCTAAGTTATGGTCTTGTTCCTTGCAAATTGCTCCGTATATAGTTTTTGCCCTGTTTAATTTAAATGTGTTTTTATCTTTTCAGACTAACAATTTACGGACTACAATGAGTGTTAAGGACCTCTACGACTGGCAAGGCAAGTTTTACAAGGATCGGACTTTGATTAAGCCATATATACTTATTTTCAATTTAAATAAGCTAAAATAATAATTAATGCTAATGATTTTTATAATTTTAAGAGAAATAATTAAGAAAACTTGTATAAAAAACAACAATTTTATATATTTGAACATAAATAAATCAATTATTTAAAACAAAAGAAGAAAATCCAGTTTTTTAATTAAAAAAATTCAAAAATCAATATTCCAACGCTTGGCCCACATTTAAAATTTTTGAAGATATGAAAGATGTTATGACGTTCTAAAACGACATAACTCCACGCGGAGATATGACGTTCTAAAACGACATAACTCCACGCGGAGATATGACGTTCTAAAACGACATAAGTCCGCGTGGAGATATGACGATCTAAAACGACATAACTCCGCGCGGAGATATGACGTTCTAAAACGACATAACTCCGCGCGGAGATATGACGTTCTAAAACGACATAACTCCACGCGGAGATATGACGTTCTAAAACGACATAACTCCACGCGGAGATATGACGTTCTAAAACGACATAACTCCGCGCGGAGATATGACGTTCTAAAACGACATAACTCCGCGCGGAGATATGACGTTCTAAAACGACATAAGTCCGCGTGGAGATATGACGATCTAAAACGACATAACTCCGCGCGGAGATATGACGTTCTAAAACGACATAACTCCGCGCGGAGATATGACGATCTAAAACGACATAACTCCGCGCGGAGATATGACGTTCTAAAACGACATAACTCCGCGCGGAGATATGACGTTCTAAAACGACATAACGTTCTAATATGACATAACTCCGCGTGGAGATATGACGTTCCAAAACGACATAACTCCGCGCGGAGATATGACGTTCTAAAACGACATAACTCTCTAATACTTATTTTCAATTTAAATAAGCTAAAATAATAATTAATGCTAATGATTTTTATAATTTTAAGAGAAATAATTAAGAAAACTTGTATAAAAAACAACAATTTTATATATTTGAACATAAATAAATCAATTATTTAAAACAAAAGAAGAAAATCCAGTTTTTTAATTAAAAAAATTCAAAAATCAATATTCCAACGCTTGGCCCACATTTAAAATTTTTGAAGATATGAAAGATGTTATGACGTTCTAAAACGACATAACTCCACGCGGAGATATGACGTTCTAAAACGACATAACTCCGCGCGGAGATATGACGTTCTAAAACGACATAACTCCGCGCGGAGATATGACGTTCTAAAACGACATAAGTCCGCGTGGAGATATGACATTCTAAAACGACATAACTCCGCGCGGAGATATGACGTTCTAAAACGACATAACTCCGCGCGGAGATATGACGTTCTAAAACGACATAACGTTCTAATATGACATAACTCCGCGTGGAGATATGACGTTCCAAAAGACATAATTCCGCGCGGAGATATGACGTTCTAAAACGACATAAGTCCGCGTGGAGATATGACGTTCTAAAACGACATAAACCCGCGCGGAGATATGACGTTCTAAAACGACATAACGTTCTAATATGACATAGCTCCGCGTGGAGATATGACGTTCCAAAACGACATAACTCCGCGTGGAGATATGACGTTCTAAAACGACATAAAGTTCTAATATGACATAACTCCGCGTGGAGATATGACGTTCTAAAACGACATAGCTTCGCGTGGAGATATGACGTTCCAAAACGACATAGCTCCGCGTGGAGATATGACGTTCTTAAACGACATAACTCCGCGCGGAGATATGACGTTCTAAAACGACATAACTCCGCGTGGAGATATGACGTTCCAAAACGACATAACTCCGCGCGGAGATATGACGTTCTAAAACGACATAACTCCGCGCGGAGATATGACGTTCTAAAACGACATAACTCCGCGCGGAGATATGGCGTTCAAAAACGACATAACGTTCTAATATGACATAACTCCGCGTGGAGATATGACGTTTTAGAACGTCATATCTCCACGCGGAGTTATGTCGTTTTGGAACGTCATATCTCCACGCGAAGCTATGTCGTTTTAGAACGTCATATCTCCACGCGGAGTTATGTCATATTAGAACGTTATGTCGTTTTAGAACGTCATATCTCCGCGCGGAGTTATGTCGTTTTAGAACGTCATATCTCCGCGCGGAGTTATGTCGTTTTAGATCGTCATATCTCCACGCGGACTTATGTCGTTTTAGAACGTCATATCTCCGCGCGGAGTTATGTCGTTTTAGAACGTCATATCTCCGCGCGGAGTTATGTCGTTTTAGAACGTCATATCTCCGCGCGGAGTTATGTCGTTTTGGAACGTCATATCTCCACGCGGAGTTATGTCGTTTTAGAACGTCATATCTCCGCGCGGAGTTATGTCGTTTAAGAACGTCATATCTCCACGCGGAGCTATGTCGTTTTGGAACGTCATATCTCCACGCGAAGCTATGTCGTTTTAGAACGTCATATCTCCACGCGGAGTTATGTCATATTAGAACGTTATGTCGTTTTAGAACGTCATATCTCCGCGCGGAGTTATGTCGTTTTAGAACGTCATATCTCCACGCGGACTTATGTCGTTTTAGAACGTCATATCTCCGCGCGGAATTATGTCTTTTGGAACGTCATATCTCCACGCGGAGTTATGTCATATTAGAACGTTATGTCGTTTTAGAACGTCATATCTCCGCGCGGAGTTATGTCGTTTTAGAACGTCATATCTCCGCGCGGAGTTATGTCGTTTTAGAATGTCATATCTCCACGCGGACTTATGTCGTTTTAGAACGTCATATCTCCGCGCGGAGTTATGTCGTTTTAGAACGTCATATCTCCGCGCGGAGTTATGTCGTTTTAGAACGTCATATCTCCGCGTGGAGTTATGTCGTTTTAGAACGTCATAACATCTTTCATATCTTCAAAAATTTTAAATGTGGGCCAAGCGTTGGAATATTGATTTTTGAATTTTTTTAATTAAAAAACTGGATTTTCTTCTTTTGTTTTAAATAATTGATTTATTTATGTTCAAATATATAAAATTGTTGTTTTTTATACAAGTTTTCTTAATTATTTCTCTTAAAATTATAAAAATCATTAGCATTAATTATTATTTTAGCTTATTTAAATTGAAAATAAGTATTAGAGAGTTATGTCGTTTTAGAACGTCATATCTCCGCGCGGAGTTATGTCGTTTTGGAACGTCATATCTCCACGCGGAGTTATGTCATATTAGAACGTTATGTCGTTTTAGAACGTCATATCTCCGCGCGGAGTTATGTCGTTTTAGAACGTCATATCTCCGCGCGGAGTTATGTCGTTTTAGATCGTCATATCTCCGCGCGGAGTTATGTCGTTTTAGAACGTCATATCTCCGCGCGGAGTTATGTCGTTTTAGAATGTCATATCTCCACGCGGACTTATGTCGTTTTAGAACGTCATATCTCCGCGCGGAGTTATGTCGTTTTAGAACGTCATATCTCCGCGCGGAGTTATGTCGTTTTAGAACGTCATATCTCCGCGTGGAGTTATGTCGTTTTAGAACGTCATAACATCTTTCATATCTTCAAAAATTTTAAATGTGGGCCAAGCGTTGGAATATTGATTTTTGAATTTTTTTAATTAAAAAACTGGATTTTCTTCTTTTGTTTTAAATAATTGATTTATTTATGTTCAAATATATAAAATTGTTGTTTTTTATACAAGTTTTCTTAATTATTTCTCTTAAAATTATAAAAATCATTAGCATTAATTATTATTTTAGCTTATTTAAATTGAAAATAAGTATATATGGCTTAATCAAAGTCCGATCCTTGTAAAACTTGCCTTGCCAGTCGTAGAGGTCCTTAACACTCATTGTAGTCCGTAAATTGTTAGTCTGAAAAGATAAAAACACATTTAAATTAAACAGGGCAAAAACTATATACGGAGCAATTTGCAAGGAACAAGACCATAACTTAGGCAATTCCGTGCAGATTTTCAAAGGACATGGTGCGTTAAGATCGCATAGACCCCCTGCATCGATCTGCATCAAAAAATATGGGGTCATCCAAGAACCCCAGGACTTGTATTTTTAATTGTGAAATTTTCATCTCGGAGCGCACAGAAATGCCCCGAAAACACAAATCCTGGAATATCTTCAAGCTTAATGAATTTTGGCCAGTTCGTAGTCCTGGTTAGTACAATTTATTTGCCGCAGGATTTGTGAGGATACACCCGGATATGGGCGAGCTATGGCCTATTTTCTCATGCAAATAGTGTCCTTAACACTTCGCCATTTGAAGGACTTTCGTCCTTTTTGTTATATTTTCTTAAATGGCAGGACGAGCATTATCTTCTGTCCAAAGGAGATATGACATTCTAAAACGACATAACGTTCTAATATGACATAACTCCGCGTGGAGATATGACGTTCCAAAACGACATATCTCCGCGCGGAGATATGACGTTCTAAGACGACATAACTCCGCGCGGAGATATGACGTTCTAAAACGACATAACTCCGCGCGGAGATATGACGTTCTATAACGGCATAACACCGCGCGGAGATATGACGTTCTATAACGACATAACGTTCTAATATGACATAACTCCGCGTGGAGATATGACGTTCCAAAAGACATAATTCCGCGCGGAGATATGACGTTCTAAAACGACATAACTCCGCGTGGAGATATGACGTTCCAAAACGACATATCTCCGCGCGGAGATATGACGTTCTAAAACGACATAACTCCGCGTGGAGATATGACGTTCTAAAACGACATAACTCCGCGCGGAGATATGACGTTCTATAACGACATAACGTTCTAATATGACATAACTCCGCGTGGAGATATGACGTTCTAAAACAACGTTAGGTACGCTAGGACTATATCCATGATATGGATTAAACAAGGATAAATAGGTCAACTAGGTACCATGAATAGCGCACATTTCAGTCCAGGCTTGAAGGTTAAAAAATAGGTCAAGGCCCACACAAAGCCGGGTAGCAGCTGCTTTCGTAGTATATACATAGGTATGACTGTATTGTTTACACGTCTCGAGATTTATTTCAATTAACAATGGAATTTCATTAATGATCATAATGATCAAATGCTTTTTGGTTAGTCATGAAATACACAGATGGCGACGATTTATGGTCTGCTTGGCTTAATCGTACCGGGGCTGGGGGTGGTATTGGGTCAGCACTTTGGACAGCTCCTGGGCCAGTTGGGGCGTAGCTGCGGCCAGGACGCGGCGTGACATGATATCAAAATCGCCGCCAGCGGGATCAATGACTACTCCACCCGCCTCCCGTACAATCAGATCACCGGCACAGACGTCCCAGGCATGGATGCCGAATTCGTAGTTGGCATCGGCAGCGCCAAGCGCCACCATAGCCATATTCAAAGCCGCTGATCCCAGCACACGCAATCTAAGTATAAGATGAAAATCAGATCGATGGGCAATTGCTATTGAAGATTAATGAAATTTACCCGTGCACATGCTTGGCCATTTTGGCGAAATTCTCATTGACCACCAGCATTTTTTGCTCGTCGCGTGAGGTACCAAATTCGCTGGTCACCAGCGCCTTGTTCAGCTGCTGTTGACCACTTGCCTGTATGCGGCGTCCGTTGTAGTAGGCACCTTGGCCACGGCGGGCCGTAAAGCGCTGCTCCAGAATGGGATTGTAAACGATGCCAATTTCGGTGACCTTATTCACCTTGAGGCCAACGGAAATGCATGAGTGCGGAAATGCATGCACAAAGTTCATTGTGCCGTCCACTGGATCGATTATCCAGGTGGGCGCATCGGTCAGCTTTTTGACACCGCCTTCGGAGCTGCTCTCCTCCTCGCCAATGAACCTGGAAAATATATATTACGCATTTCGCTTTTCATTCGAGTCGCATGCGGCTACTTGTGATCTGGGAAATGCTGACGAATGCCATCCATGAGCAATTTCTCCACATCCTGATCGGTTTGAGTGACCAAGTCAATGTCTCCGGACTTGCACACAAACTCTTGCCGGGTCTCATTGTTGCGGGCAATCAGCTGTGCAAAGAGCCTTGTAAATTATTTTATTATGCCGAAGACTGGCACACAAAATGAACTCACTCGACCCGCCTCTGTGACCAGGTTGTTGATGATCTCGAAGCACTTGCCCAAATCTACGCTGTCTGCCATTGAATGTATGTTTCCGTTTATTTTTTTCACGTCTAGTTGATTGCAAATGCGTAATTAGATTAAGCTTGTGGAAGACAAATGAATGCACGCAGTTCTACAGCTGTTTGTCCAGTGCTGTAAAACTGTGCAAAAATTACAAGTCTGCATTCACAGTGCAGTTCACAGTGCAGTTCACAATGAGGTTGCGGTGTGACGATACAAACTTATCGATAGTAATCGACATTTGATTTGAAGCAAAAGGAAAGCAACCGTTATTCGTGTACCAAAATGTTTACTGGTTTACATGCATTTTGATGGAGTTAAACTCTTGATGAGCAGCTGGTTCATTTGCTTGAGCTATCGAATATTACGGTATGCTGAACTGTCCGAATCTAATGATAAGCTGGTATCGGAGAACTCTGTTTGCGCAGTGAAATCCTTTGTTAGGGGCTCACTCTCCACTCTTGACTCATCATCCCGCGGCTTCGGATAGTTTTGGACGAGCTCGATGGACAGAGCCTTGGCAAGTGGCGCTGTGGCAGCGGCCAGTACGCGACGTGACATAATATCCACCGCGCCGCCAGCAGGATCTATGACAGTGCCGCCCGCCTCGGTGACAAGCAGATTGCCAGCCGCCATGTCCCACACATGTAAGCCGAAGAAGTAGAACCCATCTGCCACACCAGAAGCAATCATGGCCAGGCCCATGGCGGAGGAGCCAATTGAACGTAAGCTGCAGGCAAAATTGAACTTGGTTGGATTGACACACTTTACATTTAACCGTAAACTTACGCGTGGGTTTTCCTTATGAGCCGCTTGGCGTTCTCCATGGATGCAGAGGTACGGGATTCGTGCATGCCAGAGCTGTACTCCTGCAAAATCATGGCACTTTTGAGGCTCTCCTGGCCGCTGGTTCTTATCGGCTCGTCATTTAGCTGGGCGCCTTTGCCCTTTCGCGCCGTATAAAACTCCTGCAAGGCCGGATTAAACACAATCCCAAAGGCGGTTTCCTTATCAATAAGCAGCGCCACCGAGATGCAATAGTAGGGAAAATGATGAACGAAATTCATGGTGCCGTCGATGGGGTCTATAATCCAGGTGGGCTCATTGGTGAGCGTCACCTGGCGCGATTCCGTCTGGGAAACCGCCTCCTCGGCGATTACTCTGTGAAAGGATGCAATTATTAAATCAGCTGGCCTTGCGGCTTACTTGTTTTTGGCTTACTTGTGCTCGGGATACTTTTCCAAAATTGCCTTTGTTAGCATATCCTCGATTTCTGTGTCGGCGCGCGTGTTCAGATCCTTCTCGTGATCCTTGGTGGTAAACGAAAGCCGCTCCTTGTTGGAATTTAACGCGACGGCACCTGCCTTCCGCACCAAGGCCACGGCGAATGCATAGCATTCGTCCAAATTCAATGCAGGCTTCTCCTCCTTAACTGGTTCTGGCGGTGCTGCCGGCGGTGCTGTCGGCGGTGCTGCCGGCACTGCTGCCGGTGCTGGCGGCTCTTTTGCGGGCTCTTCCTCATCCGTATAGAGATTACCCGAGGTATTTGTGGTCTTTGACGCGTATTCCTTTGACGGATCGAACGTGACGTCGGTATTGGTGAATTTGGAGACCGCTTTCATTTTATCCTTATTTGCTGCTGGTGGTGGAACGGGTGCAGCGGCTGGAGCGGGTGCAGCGGGTGCAGCTGGCGGAGCAGCGAGAGGAGCAGCGGATGCAGCGGGTGTAGCGAGTGCAGCAGGTGCAGCAGGTGCAGCAGGTGGAGCAGCAGGCGGACCAGGTGGAGGTGCAGACGTATTAAAGCTGGTAACTTGATTAGGGCCCTCTTTGACGGGCTTGGCCGGCGCGGGTTCGATAGTTTTTGAAGTTGACTCCAAAATAGGCGTCAATCCCTCACGACTTTCAATTACTCGAGCCTTTTCACGGGAAACGTGCATATTAGCAACACGCGGATCTTGAATGTTGGCTTTATGATCCTCCAGCCCATAGTTGCGGGCCGCATTTTTTGCAATGTGTTCTGCAGGCTGTTCTGCTGCTGGTGCCTCCTTTGCCTTTGGAGCTGGGTGTGGCTCTTCGCGTGACTGAGAAATTCGAGCATAGCTCGCGCTCCTAGACACGGGCTTTGAGGTCGGACCAAGTCTCGTGGATGGCGTCAAGGACTTACGCATACTCATCGAGCGTGACTTTTGCAGCTCATTCACCCGCGGATCCTGAGCGGTCGCTTCGTGATCCTCGAGCCCATAGCTGGTGGCCGCATTTTCTAGCACCTCCCTTTCTGGCAGCTTTGGGTTGGGACTCTCAGCGCCCTTCTTCTCGTCGACCATGGCAATAAATTAGCTAGCAAGAGGATACGTCTGATGCTGATGTTTTTTAACTACCAACTGCCATCAAAGAGTTGCATGCTTTGAAACAAATGACCTGACTGGACAAGACCCGAAAACTTTAACAGTACCCGTGTGTTTGTGTGTGTGTGTATATATATATATATATCTAAACGAATCTCGGAAAACAATTATACATTTTGACGTCTGGTTCAATGCCAGCCACATTTATTTGCCTACTCACACACATTGGATCCTACTTGAATTTGGAGTTGGAGTTGGTTTTTTTCGGAGGCGGCTCATCGTCTCGACGATGATAGATTTGCCTGTCGCCCAGCAGCTGCACCATCTGATTGCCCAGCTGTGGCGTAGCAGCGGCCAGGACGCGTCTGGACATGAGATCAAAGTCGCCGCCGGCTGGATCCATGATGACGCCACCCGCTTCGCGGACGAGCAGAGCGCCCGCTGCTAAGTCCCAGGCATGCGGATAAAACTCGTAATAGCCGTCGGCAGCGCCCATGGCCACCAGGCACATGTCCATCACGGCGGAGCCCGTGGTGCGCAGGCTGTGGTATGCGAGAGACATTTGTTTTCAAGTCGGCTTCATATGCCATTATACTATTTACGCATGTGCCTTGAGCAGCATCCCAACTGCGTTTGTCAACAGTATGTCCCTGTGCTCGCATCGCTCGAGATTCGCGGCGTTCAGCTCCTGCATAATCAGCGAACGCTCCAGCTCGGTCTGTCCACTTGTCCGTATGGGCTCGCCATTCAGGTAGGCGCCACGATTGCGACGGGCTGTGAAGATGAGCTCCAATGTAGGATTGTGGCAGATGGCCAGCTCCGGCTGTTTGTTCAGCCAGAAGCCCACCGAGATGCAGCTGCAGTGGAAGCCATGCACAAAGTTTGTGGTGCCGTCGATGGGGTCAACGATCCAGGTGGGCTCCTCGGTCAGCTTGCGGCCCGTGGATGCGCCGGCGGTTCCCTCCTCGCCAATGTAAACGTGCTCGGGAAAGCGTTCCCGTAGGCCCTTTATCAACAGCTCCTCAATTTCACGATCCGTGGCTGTAACCAAATCCTTGTTGTTCAATTTGGTTTCAAAGACGCGCATCTGCCCACTGGCCGCCCTCAGGTGCTGTCGGTCAGACAGGATACTCTTAGTGGACCACTCACATCTGCTTTCCGCCCAACTCTTACCTCTGCAGCCCGGTCGACCAGCCGACATACCTCCACGGCACATTGGTCGACATCCACGTGGCTCACACTCCTTCGAATGGAGGTCTTTTCTAGTGGCAGCAGACGCTGACACGCAAATCGAAACATTTTTAAATGGCAATTGGTAGTTTATTTTCCAAATATGTTAATAAATATTTTAATAATATAAACTGCGCCTGCTTCAATCCAAATTCGAAAATGTGGCCGTGTAAAGTCCAGTCAATGGCAGATGAGCTGCCGTCCTCGTCGCCGTCGTTTATCCAGCAAGGTTCTTGTTTGCGTGCGAATAAGAGAAAAAGAACACGAGTCACTGGTCGATGAGTCATCTTTCATGGCTACCATTCCAGCACATGATCTACAAACTATAGCCGGGCATGCACGGATCACCGGGTATCGAGTCGTCCCGCTTATTGGGTGTACCACAAGGTTTTCTGGCTGGCCGCCTTGCAAGTTTTCTTTTCTGTTTACGAACTCGCGGCTGTTGTGGACAAGTCTTTCCTGATGATTTTTTAGATTTCCCTGTGTCCTTCGCTTTGGCTATTGCCACAATCGACTGCTCTGCAGCTCTCTCGCTGGGCAGCTTGTCGTTCCCAGCAGAGTCCTGGTCAACTGGTTCATTTGTTTGTACACCTTCAAGCTCATCATCCCGCTGTTTTGATGGGAGCAGCCAGAGGCTAATGAAATGTAAAGGATTCACTGGGGTATCCATGACTATGCCACTCGCCTGCGGCACAGTCAGCATTGCAGAGCCCATCTTCCACGAACTGGCAGCATTGGGACAGCCGGAGAAAAGTTTAACAGAGCCATCGATGTCATTTACAGGCCAGATGGACTCATCAGCCTTGTTCTCGGCTATGAATCTGAGCAAGGATTGGATTAGCACTGCATGAGCCACTGCTGTTTGGGTCTACCTACTCATTTGGCGAATGCATCGCGGTGTCCCGCACCAGCACATCCTCAATCAGCGTGTCCCATTTGTTTGCCGCCATCTTGGGGCTGTGCCTCGCCTGGAAGGCATGCATCTGCTGTCGCACGCCTTTACAGGCCAGCTCGAGGCATTTGTCCATGCCATGACGACATATGTCATCTTGTCCCTGTGACACTGCCTGGACAGATGAGCCAGTCGCCGTTGCAGGCGGAGCCTGGCACTGGCGACGGCTGCTTGTCAAGAAACCCCTAATTATGCTTTGCATTTGGCTATCTTGAATCACTTGAAAATTTAAAATGATTTATTTCTCCATACACGGCATAGCATTGGCTGATCGTAGTCAAGGCATGCTTAAGGCTTCGATTGTTTCCCTGGATTTGTTGGCTCGTCGTCACGTGGCTGGGGGAACAGCTGCTGCACCAGGGGCACCATTTGCTCGGCCAGCTCGGCCGTTGCCGTTGCCAGCATGCGACGCGAATATATATCAAAGGGGCCGCCGCACGGATCGATGACCACACCACCCGCCTCCTCTACCATCAGCACGCCTGCAGCCCAATCCCAAACGTGTGAACCGAACTGCAAGTAGGCATCGCAGGCACCAATAGCCACCTGCGCCAGATTGAGCGCCGTTGAGCCGAGGGCGCGTACGCTGGAAAAGTACTTTGGAGTCGCGCACGAACAAGCATCTAAGCACTTGAGGCTCCACTCACCCATGCACCATGGGCAGCAGCTTGAATATATTGGGCGAGGCCGAATCCTGGCCATCTTCGCCCAGAGCCACGGTCCAGTCGAGACAGACCAGCGACTGCTTGAGATCCCGCTGTCCGCTGACCCGCATCGGGTTTCCATTGAAGTAGAATCCCGATCCTTGCTGCGCGACATATGTGTGCCTCAGCATGGGATTGTCAATCCAGCCGAGCACGGCCCTCCGCTCCACGTACAGGGCAATCGATGTGCAGAAGTGTGGGAACCCGTGCACAAAGTTCATTGTCCCGTCAACGGGATCTATGATCCAAGTGGGCGCATCGCTCACGACCCAGTTCTTGGCGGTGCCTTCAGTGCCTTCCTCGGCAATGATCTCGTGATCTGGAAACTGTTTCCGTATACCACCGACCAGCAGGCGCTCCACAGCCTTGTCCGTCTGTGTCACCAGATCGCGCTGATGTGCCTTTATTATGAACTCCGGCTTCTGCTCCTGCCCCTTCATCATCAGCTGCAAATATTATATCCGGTGATTATCTATGCTACACTGCCTACTCAAATGATACGACTACCTCTCCGGCCTCCCGGGTTAGCTGCTTTATAAGCTGACGCGCCCTGTCGCGATCCACCGTCGAGAATTGTCTGCCTGGACAATAGCCGGGCACAGCTCTTAAAAGTACTTGCATTTTGACAACTTTTGCACTTAGGATTAAGCTAAAGCAAATAACGAATATGTGTTAGCTTTAAGAAGTTTAAGTCAAGGGATATGAAAACTCGTATATACATGGAAACAATAAACTTTATTATACACATATAAGATTCGATAAATATATTTATATATTGTTATGTACATATCTGGTACAATTCACATTTATTTATTTAAATCTGCTCGCATCGACGCTCTAAAAACCTAAACAACTTTTTACAATCAGACAAGGGGGCGTTGCTGGCAACCCCCCCCTTTAGGATCAAGCAGCACCCGCGTTCCATTCAAAGCTCTCCCTTCGATGCCGTCTCCAACGTGGATAACTAACAATAACAATACTACGTGGTCCGTTCACGCCAAGTTCAGTTGAGGGATACGATATAGTCCTAACTGAACAACGGGGTAAACGAGTAACAATAATGATATGTATATACTTTGAGTTTTTTTAAGCAGTTTTTTCAATGATATGTTCTCGTTGCGGGAAGTCTTTTTCGACTATATAGCGATATATATATATATGTATATAGCTGATTAAATATGTATATCAAATAAGTATTTTGGAATGTTGATAAGCATTATGCCACATTGATATGTATCTTTTCCAATCTTAATAACTAACGCTCGGAACGTCTAGTAAATATCGCCAACACGAAACCACAAATATATATAGATATATAATACGGACTTACGTATTCCTTAGCTTAGGCTGGTGCTGTAAACGGCTGAAGAGAATATAGCAAAAGGATACAATATAAAATAATTGTAAAAAGATACTACAAAGAATGTGCGCTATGGGAGAAACTCAAAATGTAGTGTTAATGTGTTGTTAATGGGTATTACTGAAATCGTGTATATATTTTGTATTATCAATTCTACTAAAAATACATACATAATCAATATAATTAAATTTGTATCACAACGAATTTAGCAAGAACTTAGGCTAAGACTACAACAAACAAACAAAAGAACTGTGAAGAAAAATGTGTGCGTGCTCAGCATATTAACTACATTCTATAAAGACATTTATGTATACGATTCAGAACCAATTCACACATTCAAAATATCAATATATGTATAACGTATATATCGAAAATAACAGTTGCATATGATCCTTACTTACGCACACAGCTTAAAAACTAGGTGGAATCTGTAAGCCCCTCGCGGGGCCAACAGTTGGCGCTAAACATAGGTAATATATATATGTATGCATATATGTATCGAATAGAAAGGATTGGAGAGAGATTTACAAGTTTCACGTTAATAGCATACGTGGATATTAACTGGTCGAATTGGCCAGCCTAAATGCGAGCGCAGCAAACTATGGCTAAGTAGAGGTTTGCAGAGGAGCTAAGCTGAAAGCTAGAATCCAAAGAAGAGTAACTGGGATCGGTCATTGGGTCTGGCTCTGTGTCTGGACCTGTTTACTTGGCCTCCACGGGACGATTGGCGAACAGCTGCTCCACAATCTGCTCATCGGCCAGCGTGGAGGTGTCGCCCACATTTCGATCGTTGACGGCAATCTTGCGCAACACCCGACGCATTATCTTGCCGGAGCGCGTCTTGGGCAAGCCGGGCGCATTTTGTATAACATCTGGCATGGCGAAGGGGCCAATGCGTTCGCGCACCATCTTCTTAAGGTCGGCGATTAGCTTCTGGTCGAACGCCTCATTCTCATTGGGCGTTATGAAGCAATAGAGACATTCGCCCTTGACCGGATGCGGCCGGGATACCACAGCCGATTCGGCGACACGTGGATGCTCCGTGAGCACAGACTCCACCTCGGCGGTGGACATCAGATGACCCGACACATTCAACATATCATCCACGCGGCCAGTGATCCACAAATACCCATCAGCATCGCGACGAGCTCCTGTATTGGCAAGATTTGTAACGTATAACGATATGCATGGATTCTGTATGCCAGTCAAACTCACCGTCTCCAGTGCAATAGTAGCCGGGAAACTTGGAGAAGTATGTGTCCTCGAAGCGCTCATGATTGTTGTACAGCGTGCGCATCATGCCCGGCCAGGGCTGCGAGAACACCAGGTAGCCCTCGCCCTCGCCCTTGATCTCAATTCCGCACTCATCCAGCAGCAAAGGCTTGACGCCAAAGAAGGGAAACGTCTGCAAGACAAGCAGAGACATTGAATTATATAATGCACATTGAGGCAAGTTAAATAATATCATCTTTCGTACAGCAGAGCCTGGTTTCATGGGCGTGGCGCCGGGCAGAGGCGTTATGACATGACCGCCAGTTTCCGTTTGCCAAAACGTGTCCACAATGGAGCACTGCTCCTTGCCAATGTTGCGATAGTACCAGAGCCAGGCCTCCGGATTAATGGGCTCACCAACGCTGCCTAAAACCCTGTGGAAAGACGAGAACATCAGCTCGATAGTCTGCTTTGGCAGTGTGTGTGCACCTACTTGAGACCGCTCAGATTGTGCTTGAGCACCGGCGCCTCGCCAAACTTCATGAGCGCACGTATAGCCGTGGGCGCCGTATAGAACTGGGTGACCTTGTACTTGTCAATGACGCTCCAGTAGCGATCGTTGCCGGGATAGAAGGGCGTGCCCTCGAACTGCAAGTAAAACAGATACAGGGGTAAGTAATCCCCTAAAGTCCGCTTGCTGGATGACTTACAATAACTGAAGTGGCGCCGTTGGCCAATGGACCGTAGACCACATAGGTGTGTCCAGTGATCCAGCCGACATCGGCGGTGCACCAGTAGATGTCACCGGGATGGTAGTCAAACACAATCTTGAATGTGGTGGCCGCATAGAGCAGGTAGCCGGCCGTGGTGTGGAGCACGCCCTTGGGCTTGCCCGTGGAGCCGCTCGTGTAGAGCATAAACAATGGATCCTCGGCGTCCATCCATTCGGGATAGCAGGCCGGCTCCTTGTCCTCCATCTCCTCGTGCCACCAGTAGTCGCGATCATCGGTCCACGGTATATCCTGCTCCACATGATTCTCCTGGCAGGGCGTAACGCGCTTCAGATGTGACACCACAATGCATTTCTCCACGGAGTGACCCATCTCGTCGACCTTCTCCAGGGCCGTGTCGCACAGGGCTTTCAGGTAGAGCGGCTTCTCGCCACGCCAAGCGCCATCGGCCGTAATCAGCAGCTTGGCCTTGCAATCGAACATGCGCTCCGCCAGAGAATCCGGCGAGAAGCCCGCAAAGACAATCGAGTGCACGGCGCCAATGCGTGAGCAGGCCAGCATGGCAATGGGCAGCTCCAGGATCATGGGCATATAGATCGAGACGCGATCGCCCTTCTTGATGCCATGATCCTTTAGCACGTTGGCGAACCGGCAGACCTCCTCCAGCAGCTTGCGATAGGTGAGACCGCGCGAATAGTCATCGGGGTGGTTGCCCTCCCTGCAATGTGGACAATGAATGCGGAACTACATTATTAATCAGTTGGCAAAGTGCCCAAAAATGAGCAGCCCATTAATAAGCTCCATCAGTTACAGGGTATACCGCGTATATGGGGTAAGATGGGCACGTTTCGAATCAATTGGATCACTTACAGCAATTTGAGGCTTCCTAATTGTCGCTCGCAACTTAATTTGAATTTGCAACATAATTTGCTGATTTGATAAGCTGCCTCACAGTGGCTGTCATTTGGGTCTTATTGCTTCCCGACTCACTCTTCCCCTCTCCCCCCTGGCTGCTAGCCAAGCAGCGCGCCTTTCCCTTTAATTCTCAACTTGGCAACCGAAGCCAATGGCCGCCGGCACAATAGTCACAAAAGTCAACAGCTGCAATGCCGACAACGATATATACTGCATATATAAATATATATCATTTTTTACAGTGTTCAATAAAGTTGTGTGTACATGGGAAAAAACTAAGATGTAGACTCAGACAAAGCAACAATTATATTCGATATAGATAGAAATGATTATAAATAAGATGTTCTTCAGCTTTCAAAGATTCATAGATTCATTGGAATTGCCATTCGCAAAGAGCTGCAACCCTTCTACTCAGACAAAAAAGTGGAAAGAATTGGATCAGAGTTTTAGATAAAAGCCAAATTTCATTTTCTTCTAATATAGATAATCAAATGTCAAGGAACTGGAACAAATCCTGCTCAAATGAACCGCAGTTCACATAACTTGCTGGTGCGTATACTTTTGTAGCGTATTGTTATCCATTGAATTGCCTGGGTATAATTAATGGCACCCAAATACAAAATGCATAAAATTTAACAACAAATTTAATGCACAATCGAGCGCGCACAGAAACAAATACAATAAATACAAAATCGTGACGGGCCGGCACATAGAACGGATTTTGACGAGACTGTCCAAGGACAGGTGCACAATAGAGAAAGCCACCTGCAGGTCTTGGTCTAGGTCAGCTGTCGCAGTTCTAGACAACGTGCCGTATGACACAAACCCCAAAACAAAAATATGTTTTTTTTGAAGTGAGTCAAAGACCGTAAATATCTGTAAATCATTGACTAAATTGGTTGGCTTTGTCATATGGATCGATAAGATTCAGTTGCCGCCATAAACGATTTGCCGAGTCTCTGAACATCAAGGAAAATCGGGTAGCGTATAAAACCAGCTCGCACTCATGACGTATTTGTCGCTATTTTAGCAGAGCACAAATCGAAAGGCGGGTGCGAAGTTCACCTTTTCTTGGATATGCTATGAGCTGGCGCGTTAGCTGCCTAGCGAAATACTATTCAACTTATTCGAAATTGTAATTAATTAGTAAGATGTTAAAAATAAACCAAAAACAAACAGCAACACAGAATTTGATAAATTTTGTTTGCTAAACGCCGGCAAACCCACATTGCAAACAGCTACAGAGTCTGTTAAAACTAACAGCGCTGTTAAGCAGCCCTGTGCCTAATTCAAGGCCAAGGTAAGCACGCTCTCTCCTCCCTCTCTCTCTCTCTCTCTCTCTCTCTGGTAGTCATTCTCTGCGCAGCTTGACAAGCACTGATCGCAATTACTATTACGTTTATGTGTGCTTGTCAAACCGTTGCTAGCATTCTCCTCAAATGACTAACTAGAAGCTTTAATCGGTGGCCCGGTGGCGCGATTTTTTCCCATGTTAACGTAATGCCGAATTCCCAATAAGAAATACTTGAGGCCGCGTTGTCGCTAGACAATCTATGGGCTAATCAATTTTGCCGCAGTGCTGGCAATGAGCATTTTAATGCTGCCTGGAAACCAATCGAAAATGGAAACCTCATGATCTTGACCGCCGCCGTTGGCAGCAAATAGGCGCGTGGCTGGCTGGCGCTTATCACAAATCAAAAGTATCGCGAATTTAGCTTCCACTTTTGAGAGGCGTGTTGGGAAGAACGAGCTGAAATCATGTGAGGCGCAACAGCCGGCAACAAGGCAACAACAACAATAATTATCTAAGCACAAGCAGCTGTTGATTTGCGTGTCTGAAAGCTACAAAATGAAACAACAACAACACGAAAACAAATCGCATCGAATGTTTTCATTTGTTGTTGTGTTAGCTTAAAAGTAGATTGCGTGAAGAAGTAAAAGCGCTGCAGCTTTTTTAAGCGTCGCTGTGTCTGGGTCTGGCCCTACAGTTTGAGAGCAACATCGTATGATTTTCGGCTAGACGAGCCGCAGACGCTAATCTATGCAACATTATGCAAATTATGCAAAAGGTTTTGATTATGAATTTGTGTTTTGTACTCGACTGAGATACGCACAGTTGTATACTAGCATAATGAGGGCAATTCAACGAATGGATTCCAATTACTGTTGCGATATTGATAACAAAACGTGGACAAAACCAGACAAACACATGGCGATTGACCCCCCCCCCCCCTCCCCCTTACACATCTGGCCATTATGTTGCTGCTTTTGCCCTTTCGTTCGAGCTGTAGGTGTGTCAGCATTAACATTATCTTTGTTTCTTTTGCGCACACACACTCACACCCACCCACACAGACACGTTTTAGCCGCCTCAGCGCATGTGTGAATGCGTAGAAATTGTCGCTGCGATTGGTTGTGAGTAATCGGACGATATGATCGCGTGATTTTTGCGCGAAACACAGTGCCGCCAAAACTGTAAATGTGTCTGCGCTTTAACATGCAGAGCGGAAGCTGCGCTCGACGCGCGGCTCAAGCTGAACTTCGCAACATTTGACACTGGCACTCTTTTTGCGCACCTTGTCGACGTTGGCCATTGCCAGACAACAGACTGACACACATTGAGGCGCGAAATATTTAATTTGATTTTTGTGCGTTCGCAGCGAAATCAATTTGAATAAACAATTTGCGCGCTTTGTGCTAATCGTTCGCTTATATAAGCACTTTTCAGCGCTACACGTGCGTGCGTGTGTGTGTGTGTGTGTGTGTGTGTCTATGTCTGCTTGCGCTTGTATCAGAAGAAATGCCTCGCTTTATTATTATAGTCCAGTAAAAGTTAAAAAAAACCACAGATTTGCCTGTTTGCCTTGCTTTGCTTTGGGTTACCTTTATTGTTGTGCCTGTGTATTATCTATTTATTATTATTTTTTCCAGCGAGCTGTGTTAATTATTGCCCCATTACCTGCAAATTGCTCAGGTACGCGTCTTTATCTTATCTAACTGATGGACGAATTGTGTGTTGGGATTTGAGTTTAATAATTTTTAAATTTCAGAGTTGCGAGAACAGGGACTCAGACAACGATTTGACCTTGCATTTGCCTTTCACATACCTGACTTAATAATCTATTTGTATAGCGATTCCGAATCCGATTCCGTTTCCCGTATCATTTGCATTTCTTTTCGCACGCGTCCATAGTTGAACTGCGGCGATAACCCGGGTACCCGAGATTAGAGAATTAACATTTGTGTTTTATTTTTTGGTGTGACGACTCGACAGGCAGCAAGATGTCAAGATTGATTTGAACCTTGTGCCCGATAACCTGCAAGAAGCAAAACATGCCACACACACACACACACATATATACAAGAAGAAGAAACAACAAACAGCAACTATATTTATATAAACTGTAAGACGCATTTACTTTTGCAATCTGAGGGCATTTATGACTTTTGAAGAGCACTCGACTGAACCGCACACACAGACATAGGCAGCACCTGTATAATTATACTTTGATAAACACAAAAATACTAATTAATTCCGATTACAAATTTCATTTGTAAGCGCGTCAAACAAAGTCTGGGAAAGTTTTGTAATATATTCAAGCCCCAAAGCAATATATATTTGGAGTATTTGCATTTGTTTACTTTGAAGCAGCATATCTAATATTTAAACACATTGAAAACAACACAAATTGCAATCCTAGAACTCGAATTCATAGTTTATGTGGCCTGGTCAGGGCCCTGACATTGACCCTTCCGAAGGTAGCTGCTAAAACTGACAGCAGAGCTGCTCAAACTAATAAATTAACAGTCAGCTGTCTGTTTATGTTCGTATTTAAGCTCATTCCAGAGCAGAGGCTCTATGTCCTTGAGAGAGCGACAACGGTAACGGTAACAGTAACGGTAACAACCGAAGCTCGCGCTCAAGTAAATTGCGAACATCTGTTTGCTCGTGTGCCTGCGCAATGCAGCCCGACCAAGGGTAGGTAGGTGGCGGGTTGGCGAACGAGGGCTGGCGACGTCACGACTGCGTTTCGTAACAGCAGAGCACAAAGAGGAAGCAGTAGATGAGGAAAAAATCGATATCCTTGGCACGTTTACACTTTTGTTTTCATGCGACCTACGCAACTGGGCAAAGGACTCGATTGAACTTACCAGTAGAACGCTATCTGATCGCCCAGGCCGTTGCGTACATTTCGATCGAGAAGGTTGTAGCATATGTTGGTCGAGGCGCCCTCCATCCATTTGATCGAAACGGGTCCTTTGGAGATGTTGAAATTGTATTGCATGAATTTTGAGGGATCCGCTGGCGTTTCCCAGTGAAATTGTTTCGCAACGCGCGACCAAAACTCGGTCGGATTGTCCAAGGACTCCTGATAGAATTTCTTGTACTCATCGAAGCTGGATATGTAGGCATTGCGGCTGATTGCCGGATTTGGATTGAATATTGATTTTTCAGTTGGCATTTTGCGTCTGGCTGTCTATGGTTTAAATATATGTAGGTTTTCCTTTTGTTCACTTGGCTTCGCAAATTTCTGACAATTATCCTTTTCACATACAACTTTTCAATGCGCCCGTGTGTTTTCTTTCAATCAATTTGTTTGCCTCTCGACTGTCCGCGTCTGTGTGTGTCTGTTTGTTTGTGTGTGAATGTGTTGAACAATGCTTTCGGTTTGGGGTTCTTTTCTATTACCCGCAGCGCACGACTTCTTGTACCGCACGATTCGAGTTCAATTTGAGCACTGAGCGCTGCGCTCGTGCGATTTAAAGCTTTTGCCATTTCTGAGAGCTTTCGCTGGGAGCTTTTAGCGCGCGCGCGCGCACACATCAGAACGCTTCAAGTTCAAGCTGCACGGCGCTTATCAGCATCTGTGGTCAGACACTACTGACGGTCGCCCGACATGTCCCACAGTCTTATCAGTCTAACAGGTCCTATGTTTCCACGGCTCGTAAGGGTGTGTGTCCAGTGCGTTTTTCGCACGTAATCAGCTGATAATCGCAGCCTCAGCAACAGACTTTGTTACATGGCCCAGCTCGGCGTACATTTCCGCTCTAAGCCGGAGCCACGCTGTTCGACGCTGATCTAACATTGAGCGGCTTTTTGAGTGCTTCGATAAGAGAGCGCGCGCGCACACACACACACGGAGCGGACTCTCTTCGGCGTCTTATCAATTCCGCAGCCGCAGCGATTCCATGGGGGGGCAAGCGCAGGTCAATTGTGATTACGATTGTCATTGTTTTAAGTGTAATATTTGGCTTTTCAGTTTATTCTTAAAGCGTAACGAAATCCAAATGCAACAACAACGTGGACATTGTGCGTATGTAGTGTGTGCGTGTGGGTGTGAAAATGAATGAGTTTGTGTGTGTGTGTGTGTGAGTTTTGGTGCAGATTAACAGTTAACAGCGGGCGTGTTTGGTTAGCAGCAATATTCCGATTAACGTCTAGTGATCGGAGCTGCTGCTAAGAAATGATTTGTACTGCTCCTCGGTCATGAGTTTCTCGAATTCAGCGGGATTCTTGAGATCGACCTTGAACAGCCAGCCTGCGTACGGAGGGAGGGGTATTGATTAGTGGACACGTATATAGACATTATCCAATTGTATGCTCACCCTTCTCGTAGCAGCTGCTGTTGACCAGCGCCGGCGTATCCTCGACCTCCGCGTTCTTCTCCGTCACCTTGCCGCTCACCGGCGAGTAAACCTCGCTGGCAGCCTTCACACTCTCCAGGGCGCCGCATTCGTCGTCCTGCTTGAGCTCGGTGCCCGGCTCGGGCAGCTGGGCGAAGACAACGTCGCCCAACGCTTCCTGGGCATAGCTTGAAATTCCCACAACCGCTTTGTTGGCGTCCAGCAGCTCGACCCACTCGTGTTTGTCTGTGAAGCGGCGTTCTGTAAATTGGTTAGAAAACAAAAACATGTGAGAACCTGTTGCAGTTTTAGCTGCATTGTGCTCAGTGGCTCGACAACTGTTGTTGTGTTTACTGAGTGATTGCATAAATACATATATCGTTACCTTTGGCGAGCATGCAGCTGGCGTGAAAACTGCGGCACTGTGATGCTGCAAGAGGCGTGGCACGCAGCTGGCGAGCCGCCTGTGCGCCCACACGAGCCAATTTTGTGATGAAAACCATTTTTCCGTTGCAAATTAGTTGCCTGTAATGTAATTTATGTTCAACGAATTTCACCGGCGTGTGTTATGCTCGCGACCACGTCTCGAAGTGAAATGAGCAATATTGAGCAAGCGTACTAAGTTTTACGTTCGACAATACTGTCTAGTGTCAAAATCTGTCGTCAAAAACGACCGGCTTATCAATATTATGAATATATTTGTGAACTTTTGATTGACCTGCGTTCACTGGATATGCTCAAACTGCGCAACGTAAGCGCGCAACTGAGTAACGTCAACGCAAAATGCTCAACATAAAATGTGAATTTAGTATTTTTTTCGTATTTTGGCAGCCCTGCTAGAGTAATCGATTAATTTTACAATTGGCGCTCAACAGGCATTTTCAAATTTTATAGTAAATATGTTGACTATCACAATTATCACATGCATATGACGTCGCGCACAATTGACAATGACTCCGATGTCAAGCCAAGCGTATCGTTGCTGGGGGCATGATTCTCAATCGGCAGTAAACTTTAGCATTAGTTTGTTGCTGCCTTATCAGCAACCGAATAAAAAACAAACACATCTAATTATACTGGGTGTGCAAATAAGTATAAATATGTATATGTATATTGTAGTCACAGTTGCAATTGCAGGTTGTATATACATCTATTGTTAAACGAACGTAAATAAATAAGACGGTCTGATAAAAAACTACAATTGGCGTCACTTTTCTTTTACTTAACTTTATCTGCTTTACTTGTTTACTGGCTTTACTGTGGCGGGAATTATTTGAGAATTATATGGATTATTATGTAGAAATGCATTGGCGCCCTCTTCTTTCCCTAGTTTAATAGTGAGACCGCAAAATCCCATTGGGACTGGGCTGTGGCGAGTAATCAGGCATCGGGAAACCCGACGTCGCCACAACAATCGTCTCCTGCACAGGTCCCTGCGATGACTGACGAGCGGGCCGACTGTTCGCATTCGGCGCCGGATACTGCTGGAAGGCATCGATACTGCGGAAACGGCGATCCATCAGATTGGCATCACGCGACATATGGGCGGCTCGCACAATGGCCTCCTCGTTCACCTCGATGGTCTCCGCAGTGGAGCGAGTGTCCGGCATGAAGGCTTCATTATTATACGCCTGCACCTCCACTCTGCAAGGCATTTGGCGAAAATTTAGAAAAGATCTCGACTGAAAAGACAGCAACACTCACTTCTCCTCCTCGTAGGCGCGAATGGGCGGCCTGGTGGTGAGAATATCATTGGAGTCCTTGCGTGGCATGAAGAGCGTGTCCTGATAGTAAATGAAAAATATATTACAAATATGAGTAGATCGATTTCTTAAATGGAAATAAATTTAGTTAGAATTGATAAGATATTGAAATTAATAATAAAATAATTGACACTGAAAGAAATTTGTTGATGAATTAGTTACACAAGCCGAGTCCTTGGCACAGGCATTCGTTTGTCATGATAGTTAACATATACAGGGTATTCTCTGAGCTGCACACAAGAGCGTGCTTTACACAATATTTAAACGACGCCACCGACAAATAAATTCCTATCGCTTATCAGCAGAGCATTGAGCCAATGTATCGACTGCTGGACGCTTCCAGCTTATCAGCTGGCAGCTCCTTGGCGTTGGGTACATGTGCACACACGGGGGCTAAGTTTAGACATGTCGTAGTCGGCGGCAATTTAATATCGCTTACACACACCTGAGCGTCTCGAGTTAGTTGTCTACATATTTTTGGAAACAGCTCATTGATCTTAGTTGCTTTTCGGGTGGGCGGAGCTTAGCTGTGTGACACGCCAGTTTATGAAACAATTACATGAGGCAATGCCAGATAATGATGTCACCCGTTTTAGTCAAACACTCACCGAACCATCCTTATCATGCTCTATTTGCACGCCGCGCACCAGCAAAACGACCAGCAAATGCAGGTTTATGTACCACAGGATGAAGCCCTTGAACGAGATGAGCATCATGGATATGGCAGCAACGCCTCCCGCAATGAGCTGGGCCGCATTGGGATCGATGACGCCGATATTGATGCTGTTCGCATTGTACTCGGACGCCTTGGCATGGAAACGGCCAAAGTCGACGCCAAAGATGACGCCGGAGGCCAAGTCCATTGCACAGATGGAGGCCACAAAGAATGCCCAGCTGTAGATAGCGCCCAGGGTCAGCTTGACATCGTCTTTGCGCACGCCTGCAAAAAGTTCAACATGAAAAACAAATTAGGGAAAGAAAATAGCCATATGTGTCACATCTATCAAGTCGACTTAAGGCCCTCATCGCTGATCGATGAATAGAAAGTGCTCGACATTGAAAAGTGGGCGACAAGGAATACTTTAAACCAAGTACGTTGAGAAACCTCATCGTTTATTACACAACAGCAAAATATCATAAAAGCAAACAAACCAATCGTTTACCTTTGCTTAGTCCATGCGCATTATTAATGCATATACCCTGTGCGCCAGTAAAATCTCTATAAATTGGGTATATTACAGCTAAGACTTTTAGGCTATATTAAGATATAACAAGGGATCAAATAGGAGTATATCTAGTTTTCAATTCGATCAATTTTCTTAGTATCAATCAAATAAATATAAGTTATCGATAACTAATACTTTCTCCTATATCGATAAATGTTATCGATCCTGAGTTCTTTCCTCCATAGAGATAAATATTGATTTTAAGAAGTGCCACAATGAACGTTTTTTCTGGTTTACAGCTAATCTATCAACCTCTTTCCCCTATATCGATAAATATCGATTTTGAATCATTGTGGCAGTTGGATAGGTAAGTCAATTCTCGTATGTATTTAATCTATATACCAAAGAGTTAGAAAGTGGAAAGCCCCCATTTCAATAAATATCGACTTTAAGAACTTGCGAGACTTGAATTGGATTGATAGTTCTCGAATGCATTTAATTTAAATTAAAGAATCCCAAGATTGAATTTTAAAATATACAGCCTTGATCTTTGTTAACCATTAAGAATATAGGGTAGCTCCTAGTCGGGCAGCATGAACTAGTGGGTGTCTCTTTTTTTTATTATTTTGATTTTATCTTTTGCTTCAGCTGCTTGATAATAAAAATTACTATTGAAATGTCTTTATAATAGATAAAACCTTTTTACTTTATACTAGATTCCGCCGCGTGAATCATTAATAAATAAAACAAGTTCGTAATTTCCGTCATACTTTTAGTCACAAAACAAACAACAACAAAAAGTGCCCTACATAAAGGAAAATCCCTATAAAATACACATTTAATACCCAGATTTTCGTCGGTTATATTCAAGGAATTTTGAAATATTTTCAAGAGTTAAGCTCTCGGTTTCTTCGTACTTACAAGTCAGAAGCACGATGGAGACGACGAGCCAGCAGACCGAGACGCCAAGATAAACGCAGTCCCAGACCAGAACCTGCGTGGGATCAAAGACAGTTGTGACCTGGTCCAACATGGTCGAATTGAAGTTCTGATAGTAATTCGTCGACATCTTGCAACTGCCGCGGAAGTAGACCTCGAAGAAGATGATCTTCACGAAGGTGCCATAAGTCATGTTGTCGGTTATATAGACGTGGCAGGTGTACGCACAGATTGCCGTGATCGTGAGCGCTATCCAGATGCAGGCTTGGGCCTGCAAAGGGGGTTGAGGGTCAATATGGACTGCAGCCAGCGGCGAGTGAATCAGCGCTTTGATAAGAGCTGTGATTGATTAGGCGCAGCTGATCGGCAGTTGTATGTGTGTGCGTGCGTGCGTGTGTGTGTGTGTGTGTGTGTGTGTGTGTGTAGGTCTTCCTGTTGATAACTATACAATTTGAAGTGCAACCGACTGCGTAATACTCTTTGACAGACCAATAAGATTTCTTTTATCTAGAAGAGCCAAACTCTTAACTCTTTATTCGAAATGCTGTCACTCTAGAAAAGTCTGGATAATAGAGATTTTTGGGCGTGGCCAAATAGTCTAGAGCCTTAAGACTGTGACAGATATAGATTTTGACGATTTTCTGCCCTCTACTTGCAAAGGTTCGAATAATTTAATACAATATTTTTTCCATATATTGCCAGATGGATATGCGGATGGACGCATGGGCAGATGATTGCACTGACGGAGAGAAAGATGACGGACAGAGTATGGACGGATAGATGGGCATACAAATGGACAGCCGGATGGACAAAGGAATGGATAGAGAATGGAGGGATAGACTCACGAATGAATAGACGGATGGACGGACGGATGAATAGACATACAGACAGACGAATAGACAGACAGATTAATAGCTCTATAGCTGCACAGACGTTTCACAGAACAAATATGCCCTGTTCCCTTTTGTGAACGAGTATGGACAGTTGTGTATCTAAAATTGAGAGTTGGCCCACAGAGGCGCTCTTATCAATTTAGAAATGGGGGGAATGAGGTCAACATTCAGGTGCAACACCGATAACAGCTTCTATTTGAGTTAATGTTACTCACCACGCCAAGTGCACCGGCCCAATTTGACCAGGTTTTCAGGGAATCAAAGTTCCGGATGCCCGGATGCCTGTGCTGTCCGTACATTTTGGCTAGAATTATAGCCTAATTTGAGTCAATTGCAAAGTTCTGGTCGAGTGGGCGGCAGCTGCGTATCGAATGCGCGACGTGCTTTAAGCAACTAAATCAACCGGACACGGTGCTGGGTACGGGGAATCGTTGCGCCGTAACATGGGCCAATTAATTTTGCGATACTCTATTTTTTTTTTCCTACTTTTGCTATTTTCAATTAGATTGTTTTTTTCGATAACGGATAGTGGCCAACTTTGAATACGGGAACTCAAGGCAATGATAAAAAACAAACAGCGGTTAGCTGTATCAGAACTGGCCAGTAAAAATTATTGAGCACACTTTTATTTTCTTTAGATTTAAGTTTTTTGTTCGACTTTACGCTGAACTGCGTTCGCTTTTCGTATCGTTTGCCAACTGAAAATCGGCGGACGAAATGCGTCTTTTTGGCCGTGAGCAACGTTACCAAATATGTGAGTGCGTTGGTAAATGCTATATTATATTATCGCTGAGCGCAGTTTGCTGATAAGCGAGCCTCAATATTGCCAAGCGTTATGTCCCGTGCCCCCTTCCCTCCTGCCGCAGCCTGCCTCGTTGAGTTTTTCGTTGGCACTTGGACGCGCAAAATCGAAGCGAACTGAAAAAAAAAAACTAACTAACGAAAGCAAAGCGCTCTGGAATCTTATCGTCATATTAGCCGCATTATTGATGTATATAGTTGTAAAAATTCTTATCGACCATAAAATAGTTGTGTTTCGCAACATACCACAAATATGTTAATTTTTGAATGGCGCGCGCCTAAAGCGCCATCCAGCGGCAGTTGGCAGCACTAAGTGCAGCAACCTAGGCAACGACAAGTCGTACGAAGCGAGCAACTTTTGACTGACAAACCATAACTTATGCCAAGGACACGCTCTTTAAAATTGCTGTTGCTTTTTATTTGTTAACAAATGATTTTTGTAATATTTTGAATGGTCTTAATATTTTTTGAGCACTCGCCCAACTTGTACTTAGCATTTAGAAGTTTGCATGATGCGCAGCGCACGTCAATAGTTGCTTGACATGTGCGTCTGAACATGCATGCCTACCAAAACGGCCGCCATTTCCGCATCGTGTGAAAGAGACAGCCAACTATCGCATAAGCAAATATCAGCCCGCATGCGTACGCCAGAGCGAGACAGGCATACTGCCAGTTGCAGCACATAAGCATTTAACCCTAAATAATACAGCACTCTCGATAGACTTTAGTACAGTCGAAGTGACGCCGCGGCATACAAACGTGAAATAAACTTCAACAAATTGTTGTTGCTTGCCGATTAGCTCGAAAAATACAAAATTGAAAATAATACAAAAAAGTGCCGATTCCAATATACTTCAGTTTTCTGTCTGCCTAATAATAAATGTGGTCGTGAATGCAAGCGTGTTTGAAAGGGAATAGAAAAAAAAAAGTTAAGAAACATACATATACTAGAATAATAGCCAACGAGATCTGCACGCACAGACACACACAAACACACACACAAGCACACACACACACACAATTGCACACAGACTAACATGAACAATCAACTAACCCCGGCCACCTACCGCAAATTCAATAATTTGCTCAGCAGCGGCGCCGTTACCGTGACCGGTCCCGGCCAGCCGCGCATATTGAAAACAACGCGTCTGGCGACACCTGGAGGCGGCGGCTCGAACGTGAGCACCGCATCGCAACAGCAGCAGCAGCAGAACATCATGGACTCGGACGCGGCAGCACGTTGTTACATCTGCGATGAGCCGCTGCTGGTGAACCAGACGCAGACGTCGCTGACGGAGATGTGCACCACGCACACCTCGACCAAATTTCCGAACAAGCTGGCCCAGCTGGTGGGCGAGGGCTTCTTGGTGATTGTCTGCAATGAGGATTTCGTTTGCTCGCGCTGCACCAATCTGGTCAACTACTACGATCGCCTCGAGAACGATGTGGAGCGCGTCAAGACCAATTTGCTCAACTTGCTGAACAAAAAGTATGGCATCAACGAGGACAGCGGCGGTAGCAGCCATGCGGACGCAGCCAGTCCGCCGCTTAAGATGCAAAAGCTGGCCGGCGGTGCGGGTAATCGCTCCTTGGAGGAGGCCGCCGGCGGCGACTTGCTGCGCACACGCAAGCTGGTGCAGCAAACAACGCCAGGTGGGTAACTGTGCAAATATATATAACAATTGGCCAGCATTAAGTATTATAATTTTTGGGTTCGCAGCCTCGCAGCAGCTGAAGCTGGCGACGCCACAGGGCGGCGCCGTGGCTGGCACACAGACGCAGGTGCAGCGCAAGGCGACCAAGATTTACAAGTGCACCTCGTGCGATTACAAGACCTCGGACATGCGTCTGTTCAATACGCACTATGAGACATGCAAACAGCAGACGTTCCAATGCAAGACCTGCCGCAAGATCTTCCCGCACTTTGGCGCCATGAAGCAGCACATGGTGCGGGATCACAATACCGCCATGGACAACACCTGCGCCATGTGCCACATCAATTTCGTGAACGAGGCCAGCCTGCGCAAGCACATGGAGACCAATCATGCCACAAATGTGCTCGTCACCAGCACAACAACAATTCCGGCTGCTGCTGCGCCGGTTACAGCCGCCGCTGCTGCTGCCGCCGCCGCTGCTGCAGCCGGCGTCACCGAGACGATCGGCGCCTCCGGCTCGGCTCTGTACACATGCAATCACTGTCAGCTAAAGTCGACCGACAAGGCCGTCTTCGATGAGCACATGCGCAAGCATGTCAGCGGCAAGCCGAAGCCGTTCAAGTGTCGCCTCTGTTCGCAGCGCTTCGAGACGCGCGAGGCGGCCACTGTACACGCCAAGCAGCATCAGACGAACTACTTCAAGTGCGGCCAGTGTTCCATGAGTTTCCCCAAGCGCGAGCTGCTGGTCAAGCATGCCGAGCTTCATCAGAGCGAGAAGCTGGCCGCCTCCAGCGGCGGCAGCCAGAACTTGAACACACAGAAGCTGCTCCAGGAGACCATTGACGAGGCGCTCAGCGATAGCGTGCCGGCCCAGGCGGGCGGCACTGTTGTGGCCACCGCAGCCGAGGCTGAGAACAACATACGCTTCTTCTCGTGCAGCATTTGCTCGCTGACCTTCATCCAGGAGACGTACTACAATCACCACATGGAGACTCACAGGCGCGACAAGAAGAGCGCAGCCGCTGGCGGCGGCGGCAATACAGCGCTCAATTCGGCAGCCACGGCGCTGCTCAGCGATGAGCCAGGCGAGTCAGGCGTCGGCGTCAAGGAGGAGTCGCACGAGCAGAGCGCCGAGGCGGACATTGAGAGTCTATTCGAAAAGTTGCATTCGGAGAAGTCCGATACGGAGAAGGGCGGCAAGAATGAAATGGTCATCACCTCACAGGAGGGCAGCGGTGGCATAACCTTCAACATAACCATACCACAAGTAGACGCCACAGGCGAGCAGGCCGAGAAGAACTCGCCCAATTCGCAGGCGCCCGTTTCGGTTAGCATTGACATGCCTGTGCTGGACCAGGCCGAAGAGGAGGAGTCTCAATCCCAAAGCAGCAATGACAACAAACCAACCGAGTCCAGAGACGGCGGCAAGTCCAACGCGGCGCCAGTCTCCATGCCCAGCCTGGACGATGACAATGAGGCAGCTGCAGCCAGCGCTGCGGACACCACAGACGGCAATGCAGCTAGCAGCAAGCCCAGCGAGAAGGCCAGCACTAAGGCAGACCAGGCAGCAGCCAAGGAGAAGGCCAAAGAGGCTGCCGACGAGGCTGGCGAGGCGGAGAGCGAGGTTGAGAAACGTGAGGCCACGGATACGCCCACGGCTGAACAATCAGCCGAATCAGAGGCAGCAGCCAACGAAGCTGCTGAGGCCGAGGCGGCAGCTAGTGCTGATGGCGAGGCATCCGGCGGTGAACAACAGGTGGCCATGGAACTGGACGAAGCCATGCAGGCCCAAGTCGATGGCGGACAGATCAAGTTCATTGTCAACGAGAACGGGCATCTGCTGCAGCTGGACAACCACATATTGACCGATGCCGACGGCAATCAGATTATCGTGCAAGATCCGGAGCAAATACAGCAGCTGCTGCAGAGCGTTGGTGTGCTGCAGTCCGGCGAGGGACTCGAGGGCGAGACGCTGCAAATGATGACCGATGGCAGCGGCCAGATGGTGCTCGTCCATGGCGACAACAATGAGCAGCAGCTGATCGATGCCTCGCTGCTCAATTCCGAGGGACAAATCATAATACAGCAGGGCCAGGATGGTGAAGAGGGGCCGCATGTCATCAGCGAAGATGGCACACGCATACCCGTCTCCGTGTCCTACACCGAAGATGGCCAGCCCATTGTGCAAGTCCAGCAGCAAGTGCTGGAGGCAGCCCAGGCTGGTGCCGAGGAGAAGGAGGCGGCAGCGGCCGCCCAAGAGGAGGCCGTCGAGGAGGCGCAAACCAGCGAAACCGTCACAGTGACCACGGCAGCCGCTGCGGTGACCACCAGCACGGCCAGCAGTAGCACGGGCGGCACAGCCGGCTTCTTTGCGCTGGAAGAGTTTGCCGAGACGAAAACGGACTAGGACTGGCCCTAGGAGCGGGGCCGCGAACACTACACAATTCTGGCAATCGATGAGGACTGGTGAGTGTGGCACTCCCCAAATCCAATCCCCAATTGAAAGTAAATTAATTCGTATCTTTTTGTTGTAGGTTTTAACAGATTTATAGACCAAACAGTAGCTACACTGGGCTCTGGACAAACTCTCATCCGAAATACACAAGCACATCCGCATTTTATACACACACAAAAGTACACACTCACACACACATGCAACAAACACACACACATACTTAGCTTATGTATTAACACTCCAGTTGACAACAACAACAGATTTGCAAACGTGATCGAAGCACTTCACAATTGCTGGCAATGATCACATTTGGGCCCTGGCATCTGGATTGGCAATTGTTCTGGACTTGGCGGAACGTGTTAGGCTTAGTTTTAGCATAGACAAACCACAAAAAGAATAAACTAAACAATGTAAAAAACAAAACAAAAACAAAAGTAAAAAAAAAAAACAGTTCATAGATGATTACAAGAGATGCTTGAATTATAATTAAAAATATATATAAAAAAAAAAAAAAAAACAATTATAAACGTAAACACTAAATAAAAACGAAGAAAAAAAACAACACGCAAAATTGACTTTAGATTCGACTAGCTTCCCAACGTAGTCCAACTCAAAGACGTAAGCCGATCCCGACATCTGAGCTGAGCTCGATGTTGCAGCAGCTTATGAAGCGGAGGCACACCCACTCACACACACACACACACACATACGACTTATATTGTACGGCAAATGTAAAGATACGCGATTGTGTGAAAAATTAGAACCACAAAAGATGAAAGAAAACAACTTAAACAAAGCTTGTTTTATATATTTTTCGTTTGGAATTTGACTTGCATGTAGATGTAGATAAGGCAAACGTATAGCCATAAATATATACATATATCTGTAGATAGATCGTAATAAGTTGTAGTTTGTAAACAATTCAAAGAAATACTTGTTACGTGCATTGAACTCATTTCGGTGTGCAAATAACTTGACGGGGGTGGGGAGGGGACGGGGACAGGTATCGCATATACCTGAAATCGATATGGGAATTTGACCATGATAAGCGAATACTCTTTTTTTTGTTTGGGCGAGCGTAAGCGTATTTTCGCAGTTTTTTTTTAATATTTATTATTTCAGATGTCTGTGCTTACGTTTATTTCCTTTAATTTGCCTTTGTTTATAAATAATTGCAAAATTTGACCAATTTGCCAACTCATTTGGGCATTTTTATTACCTTGTTCTGGACATTGAATATGTGCTCGTTTTGGCGTTTAAGTCTTAATCTCAAATAACGCATTTGGCTATTTGCATGGCAAAGCGAAGCGTCTTGATGGACATTATGATACCCTGTACCTATTGAAAATAGCTACAAAAAGGGAGGTGAGAGAGGGAGGGAGGCTGAGCCGATCTTGGCTTATGTGAGCTTAGGAAGATATATATGCAGAAATATCGTATCTATTAACCTAAATGTATCTAAGATAACGGCTAGGCATACCTAGTTCTTCATATACAAGCATAAGTTCTAGTTTGCTGTGCAAATTGAAGAAATTAAGCCCTTTGAATATCGCTTTTCAGTTTTCTAGGGTAACTCGTTGCCAGCCAAATAGAACGAGGCAAATTGTGCAATAAATGTCTATTTAGACAGTTTAAACTGTCGTTGAGTTACCTATTTGAGATCGAAGATAAAAATGTTTGGCCACAAAGTATGATGCATAACATATATTCAAGTCAACAAGAAGGGTCATGAATAATTTATAAATATTTTATAAAACGTTTAATTAATGCATTTAATGCGCTCGAGCTAATGCGTGCAGCTGTCAACATAAGATTCCATACAGAATCTCCACTCGGACCATGCCGTGGGCCAGGTTAACCACAAATACTCCAGCCAAGGACGCGGCTTAGTGGGATTACTGTTTGAGTTGCATCAACAACATTTTGCTGGCCTTTTTGTCGGTGACATTAAAAGCAACATTTGACGGCTATTTGGTTTATTTGTCGGGTTACATAATCTCCAGTCCCAAGACTCGGTCAATATTATGCAACGGCCTCAATTAAACGATCTCAATGCAAATGAATGCCAACCAATTTTGGTAAACGATTCGAAAGTCGTTCTAAACGAAGCGCAGTGAAGATGTAAATATTTCCACTTGCCAGCATGATAAATTATAGCCTATTATGAGTTTTTTTTTACCCACATTTTTTGTATACATAATTAAATAAAATAAATAAATATAAATCAATCAATGAAGAGGGGTCTACAAATGCATAAAATTAAAAAACAAATAAAGTAATTTTTGAGAAAATTCTCATAAAACTCTGAACAGTATTTTATATATTATTATTATGCTCTTTTTAATAATATGTAGAAATTGAAAGCAATTGAAAGCGAAGTCGCTTTGAAAACATTTCAATACGCATTTAAAATGCATAAAATGCAGATTATGAGAAATTTTGATGGAATTTACGTGTTTTTTCGACATTTCGTTTATATTTTTAACGATTTTTTTTTTATCGAAACAAAGGCTTCTTATTGAAATGCCAAAAATAACAAATTTAATATATATAATAATAATAATAATAAAAAAAATGCTATTCTAATTGCATTTGATATATCACTTGGTTATTTATTTTGAATTGTTTTCAAATTTGGGCACTTCTTAACTGTTTAAAGTGCTTGACAACTGGTTTTCATACCCTTATAAACATGGCCAAAACGTGTACTCTGAATAATGCATAAACGCCTGCCTCTATAAAGTATATATGTTCATGGGCTGACATGCCGTTAGATAAACAAATCTGAATTTCAACTTAGATACGAATGTTAAAATGCAAAAACCATTTGCGTTGTCAATATAGAGAGAGCAGGGTGTCTGCGAGCGGTGCACACCCGACCAGAGCATAGTTTGGCATAATAAAAGAACGAAAGAGTTTCAACTTATGCATATTATCTCGGGTCAAACTCAAATCTGGCTGCCATTGGCATTCAATATAATTAATAGTACATTATTTCAATTTCTTTTCAGTTAGTATATTTATTAAATATTTTAATTTGGACGCATGAAACGGGCCACGAGCAGCTTTTGTTGCTTTTAATATGAAATTCAATCGCAATTTGAATTTGCATTGAATAACAACAAGCGTTAACATTTAAATTGTACTGTTACAAAAAGATCAATAAAATAATAACTGCTTGGCCCAAATGACGACAGGCATTTAATTGACAATTTAGCTAGATATATACACGCATATATTTAAATGTAAACATTCAAGAACTCAAAGTGAGCTTTACAAACGCCTCGATTGCGCCTCATCCACCGCCGGATGCGTGCGAATGTACTCTAGCTGGCGGCCCAGATGCTTTGGGGCATGGTCGCCGCTGGGCTGATAGCCATTGGCATCGGCCACATAGGTGAAGGTAACGGGCAGACCCTCCAAGGATACATACTGGACCACGCCCACGGCGCCATTCTCGTTGCCCGCCGCCTTAGTGGTGATACCATTCGAGGTCTGGAACTCGAAGTCATAGTGTCCGGACGCATCGGGTGGCTGATTGCGATAGTAGATGGTGTGAGCCGGCGCTGCAGGACTTGCGCTTCCCATTGGCAGCGGCAGCAGCAGCAGCAGCGAGAGCAGCAGCAGCTGGAGCTGGAGCAGTTGGGGCTGGGCAGGATTCATAAGTAATAGCGAACTGTATGTATGAAAAGAAGCCACAAACCTTGGAAGACATGCGATATCGACTCTGATGACGCGAATACATCGTGCACTCTATATACCCTATATATATATATATGTCTGTGACGATCTGTCTATCTGGCTGGGGCGTTGATCTTGAAGGCTGCAGCGAGTGCGACGCGATCCGTTGGGCTCGCAAGTTAATTTGGAACTGTCAAAATGGCATTTGGCAAATGCAAAAAGAAGCTTTCAATATTAAAATTAAGCGATTCTCTCTCTTGTCGAGCTCACCGGAACTTGAAAACTCAGTTCTAACACATTGTTAGCGGGCGGTTCTATAAATTTATAAAACTCTCCAAACTGCGTTGCACACATTTTGAAAGCTGACAGAAGTCTTTTTAGAAAATATACGAACTACATGATATATGGCTGCCCAGGCCCAATACAATCCATTGGTATATATGTCTACTAGTATTTGATAAGGTTGAAATATTTGATAGCCAAACTCAGACCTGTCTGTTATGGCATTCGAGGTGTGGCGCACAGTGGTACCAGGGCGCATGAGAAACGCATGAAATGCACCAGCACCATTAAAACTGACTTTGAAAATGAATTTAATTTGCCAAACCATTTGGCACACAGTTCACGGCCAAAAGAAACATGTAATTGCACAGAGCGCTATAAAATAAAAGGTGGACTATAATGTGATAATTTGGTCAGCAAATAAGACGCAGCTGGTCTATCCGAGTATCAGGTATCACGTAAATATATCTCGAATTGGGAATTCAAATTAAGAACATGCAAGCGAAATGTTAAAGGTACGCACATATATATATATATATATATTTGATTCGTCACGGCGATTTGTTAGCACGTATTTGATACGATTTCGGCTCTCGGGCATTATAATTATGCCCAACACAGATTGTGTCACGGACTAATGAACTGCGAGTATTGGCAAATTGATACGAATAAAACATATGGTCGATTTTATTTAACAATTGTCAGCCAAGCTGTATTAAACCGGTTTCGCGAAGAATAAATCAAGCGATGCGCCAGATTAATGGGTATCTATGCGTGACGGCACACACTTTGAACTGTCCGTCACGAGCGGGTGCTACTGTATTCGCCAGCCCTTGCAGCACTGTGCAGCCAGTCAGCTAGCCGGAGGTATGCCGACCTAGACCTTGCACGACTTGAACCACACCCATTATCAATGTGTTCCATCCAGTTCCCACACGCAGCGCTCAAGGCGTTAAAAATCAATCAGCGCATCAATCAACAAATTTATGAAAGAGCTGTGACATTTGCATTGTCTTGAAGGAAAATACGTTGATCGGAAAAGAAAAAAAAACAAACATAAACAAAGACAAGTTAAGAAATTGAAAGAAATCAATTTGATTGTTGTCAACAAAAAATGGTCTCAAATTAGGCGCAAGGCAAAAAGATTTTTTTTAAGTTAGGCTTAAAAACTGCAGTTGATTGCTTTGAGATGCGAGCACGAATTGCTTCACGGGCATTATTATTAATATGATTGGTTTAATCACAGCTTAGCCTCAGAATTTGATGAACTACAAATGCGAAACACGAAAAACTCGAAATATAGTTGGAGCAGTTGGACAACTCGACTGTGTGTCGACACTTTTGCTGCTCGTCTCAAAGCTGACAGCACATTCGAGCAGAAAGACAAATATGCAAAAAAAAAATAAAAAATAAATACATATATGCTTATGGGCTAGCTTTCGGTTTCAGTTCTTTAATTGATTTGCATAACTGGCAGCTCACACCTCCCGTTTGGGCCAGGGAAATTGAAAACCGAACCAGCCAAAGCATCTGTCAATATATTTATTTCACTAGAATCAGTCGTTGATTGGCTTTGAAGCGCTTTAGAACTCGGCTGGTGGGCCAACAAGATAATTATCATGTCGATACGGAACTGAGCAACAGCCAGAAATTCGTTAAAGTTTTCTTTTTATTAATTTATTTTATGTTCTTTTTTTTCAAATTTTACGTGGCATAACTCTGTGTATGTGTTTTGAGTTTTTATCTGATTTGATAATTTTAATGGTATTCATAAGTGGAATGTGACGTCTCTCAAAAGATGATTTTTATGGGCTATTCGCAGCTTCCGTATTGTCGCTATACAAGCCCAAAATTTATGTGTGCACATTAATAGACACTTGCTAATTGGACTGAATTCCAGGCGCTGAGTTGAGAAAATGTTATTAAACACAGCATAAATGATGGATGGCTGCAGCAGGTGTCTCAAACATAGATTCACTAAGAGGAAATTCTCGATCGTAAGTTTAAAATGTGATCTTATCTAAAATCTGCCTTAACCTGATTTCAATAATATACCCTGAGATAAATCAAATTTGTGGGTCATAAGCCAACTAAATATTCGTGTTATCTCTTTGCAAATTGATTTTCTATTTAATTTGCAAAATTAACATATCAACAAGCTAGGAATTATGCCAACTAAGGGATATTATGTTACCATAATTAATCGCTATCAAGGCTGCAAACCGGAATTCCAATTTATATATATAATTTTTTTTTATATGCACCCATTAAAACCAGATGAAGCAAAACTTGAACTAAATATTATAATTTAAAATAAAAAACTTTTATTGCCCAGCCAGCCCCAAGAAATATAAATAATTTTAACCCAATTCAAACATATTTGATAGATGACAATTTTGGGTTTAAATTTAGCCCGCGTTTTGTATATGAAAATATTCACAGCTTGACAATATTTTCAGTACAACGGGCAATTGAAAATATAAAAATTAATTTTATTTATTAAATATGTAATTTAATTAAATTAATTGACTTTTGATAACCCAAACTCGAACTCGAGGCAGGAAGTAGCTTCGAACTGTGAGTCAAAGTCTAGGGAATTCTTTTGTTGGCGTTTGCAGCCCTGATCGCTAAAAACTAATATTATTTATTACACAAGCTGGTTGGCCAATAAAATTATGGCTCAGTTTATTGGCCTGAGCAATAAAACGGAGTAGCGCAGAGAAAACGAATCGAATTCCGTTTTTTATTATATATATTCATAAATGGCAAATTGGTTTCGGAACCAAGAACTCTGGAAGTCTCATCAAATGCAGCTAGCGAATAAAACATAAATATTGTGTTAACAAACAACATTATGGCTATTAGCGCGGCTTAAACGGAAATGGATGAATGGCCATCGTGGTCCAAGCGTTTCGGCCTGTTATCAAGCATGAAGCTGGCCGAGAGGCAAACGACGTCGACTGAGAGACTATTGACATTTTGATTATGTTTATTGGTTTTTCATCGATTTCGCTTTGGGCCGCCGTTTTTCTCAGATTGTTAATATAAATATAAAGTTGGCAACACGCGCTCGACCCGCAGTACGTTGCCAAACTTTGAACCTCGCGGAGCTCGCGGCGAGATCGTCGCGTTCGAGTAAACAAATATCGAATATCAAAGAAATTATAATTAGAAACAAGAGTTATAAATTATAATCATATATTGAAAGTGTTTTTGGTGCTCTCGACAAATATGCGAAATTTTGTAAGCCCCACGACCTTGTGCTTTCCGCGACCCAAATCGAAACATGTTGCTGAAATGTTCGTTTCTCGTTTCTTGTTTTGAATATAGCTGATCACCTGGTTGTGCCTGGCGTTGTTTTGCGGCCAGCTGGACGGGCGACTGGTGCGAATCCGACGCATTCGTCGCCTGGTGGGTGACCACAGTGAACGCGATGCGCAGATTACGGATTATCGCGTCTCGCCGCTGGACGAGGAGGGCGTCTTCAAGTTCGCCTTCAGGACCAGCAACGGCATTGATGTCCAGGCCGCGGGCAGCGCACTGGAAACAATTGGCCTATTTAGCTATACCTCGCCGGAGGGTGTGCCCATCGAGACGCGCTACATAGCCGACGAGCTGGGCTTCCATGTGGTCGGCAGACATCTGCCCCAGCCGCCGCCAACGCCCAGCTACATCCTGCGCTCCTTGGAATACATACGCACACACAACGAGGATGGCAGCCCGAAGGCGCGCCTCCTGTAAACTCGCGCTCACACTCATCCAGAAGAAGGCTGATATTACCATATAGCATATACGTATCTTTAGCATATAGTAGAACCCCACTAATAACGAGCTATTGTTAGTTTCTGTTAGCCGAATTGCTCTTGGCATTCGTGTACATAAGTATATAACTCATGTCATCTAACATATTCCTGCTTAACTTGATTGTGCCGCGCAAGCTGTCATATATCTACATTGACAGCACATGAATATTATTTATATTAACAACAGCAACTGCCAGTTACATCCAAATATAGCTAAAAACAATAATTATTAATATACAATAATGTGGTATTTGTTTAAATTTTGGTCTGATGACCCCAACAAATCAACTCTTGGTTATAGATTAACCATAAAAGTTGATAATCATATGACGTTTTCTCGCTTGACTAGACAACTCATTAATATTTATTAGTCAGCTGAATCGAATCGTGATTCTATTTGGAGTGCTCTTGTAGTTCTTTCCGGGTGGTTGTTGTATTCACATTGCCGGGCTATGAGTACAATAGAATGAGTTGTGTGTTTTTTCAAGAGTCAGGTAAGCATTTGCTAAGGTCTAACATTAGGACATATTTTAACTTAAGCTGAAATGTTTTGTTAATTTTTTAAAATAAAACATAAATATTAAAAATGCATAACAAACGCTAAATCTATATTTTATTTTCATTTCTAGAAAATGAAATCTCTTCAAAGTCATATAGGTGTTTATCATAAGGAATACCATCAAGATAAATATCTATACTCTAGTTGGAATTTTCATGCACATTTTATTTTCATTTTTGGGGAATACCGTGAATATTCCGGCTCATCCTCTAGATAAACTTGGCATCAACATTTTCATTTGACTTCAGTTAAATGTTTTCAAAGTTTTTATGTGCTTTTTATGAGGAATACCATGAGGACAGGTTTATTCTCTAGATTAGCCCGGCATATACATTTTATATTCATTTGAATAAAATTAAATTATTTCAATTCATGAATATTACGATTTATCCTTAAGATTAATTTGGCATCTTCATTTTTAAAAATAAATTTGCCTTAGGCACTTGTCATAAGAAATACCATCAAGTGTTTAGTGAAACCTGTTGTTTCATTTACCATCTACATTTCATTGTCATTAATAAGCAATGACTTGTCCTCTAGATTAATTTGGCATCTTCATTTTATTTTCTTTAATGAGCAAAAACTTATCCTCTAGATTAATTTTGTCGCTATATTTTAAGGCCATTTGATTTATATTAAATGCTTTTAAAGTATAATAGGTTTATCCTGTAGATAAACTTAGCATTTAAGTTTCATTTCAATCAAATTACAGTACTTTAAAGTTTTGTTAGCGTCTATCATAGGGAAAACCCATGAATAATTATAGTTATACTCTAGATTAATATGTCACCTGATTCCCTTCAGTACTCTTGAGTAATTCGGACAGACTGGCTGCCTTTTGGAGAGCATTACCTGTTAGGTTCAGGGTATTAATTGCATTCACTGAGCTGCATTGTCATCAAGTTCATTGCGAGCCACTTTGACACGCTCCTTGGCACTGGGCCACAGCGAGAACTCATCAATTTCTCAAGCACTCGAAATGATCATTGTGAATGCCAATGAGCATACCTTCAGATGATCATAATGATGATGATGATGATGTTCATATAGGCATCTTATAAATAGGCCGTTTTGTTGTGCTCCCAATCTCCCTGCGGGCGGCGACACTTGTGCGAGACTCTCGCGCTAATTTGCTTTATGATAGACATGAAAGATCAGCATAAATATATCTTTTTGGAGACAAATTTCTTGGTTCCCTTCTGATGAGCTGACGGGCGCTACTTGTCTGGCCTCAGTCTTGCCTTGGCGCTCGTCGGGAACGGTGCGTTTTCTTTTCATTAAATCCTTGCAGATATCTTCACAATTTGATATCCTACGCGTGACCTCAAGTGCAGTCTGCATATATAGTCATATATATATAAATGTATATATGTGTATAAATTGATATATCTATGGAGTTTCTATCGGATTGTGTGGCTTTGATTTATAGCTTCCATAAAGTTTTGCATGCGGTCGATGTGTATGATGTGGAGTATTGCTCGCGTGGACAAATGTGAAAATAGTTTTTCCTATTAAAATATAACATATATATACATATATGCAGATGAAGTGCTGTTGTGCGGCCTGTTGGGGCCTTTCGTGCTATTTATAAAGCCGCCTTAATCTTAATGGATTTTAATACCATCTACCTATACACATCTATATTTTCAGCCTGCTCTCGTCTTCACAAAATGTTCTGAAAACTGAAATTAATTAATGGCTTGTTATTTTTAAAAGAACAAAAAAAAAAAATAAGAAAAGAAATTCGAACGTGTAAAGGTGGATAGGAATTAGTTTCGATCCAATATAAAGATTATTATAAGGCATCAAAATGTTGCCAGCACATTTTGTTTTGTGTGTGCTGGGCTGCATTTCATTTTCCGGAGGTAAGTGGGCGGCCCAAAGTTGGGAAATGGGAAATATATATCATACAGATATAAAATATGACAGTCCCATAGTTTTCCACAGATTGAAGTGCTGCGGTTCACAGTTCTCTGCGGGAACTAATAAAGATATACATATATATATATATAAATTATTTTTGTGGGGTATTTTTAAATATTACGCTAACCGAAACTTGTAACCTTTTCTAATGGCCCATAAACATATCCAGATGTGCCATAAAAACCATTTGCTATAATATCTATGAGTAAGATACAGTTCTATATATGCATATTTTATGACACCGTCAGATCTAGATCAGCGAATTGATGAATCACGGCCAGTTTGTCTCTGGCACATCTTTAGCATTATGACAGTCCCCCACGCTCCATCGCAACCCTGCAAGGAGTCCACTTAATTGCCGGCCAGAACTAACAAACTATAAACATAGATATTGCTCGTAAATTTCCGGCAAGATAAAAATAAACATCATGACAATAAATATTGTTTTAGCTACGATTTAACAGAGCTCTTCGTATTGCTCTAAAAACAAGAGACTATCAAACCATTTTGGAGATAGCCGTTTTTTATTAGTGTACTTGCAGAACGAGGGTGAGGGATCAAGCTTAAATAATGCCTGGCTGAAGATCGATACCTATCGATTTATCAGTATTTGAATTAAAATCGATCTGAGACGAAAATCCCTGTCTCTAATAGGCTGAGAGATTCTTATAAAAAGACGGACAGACAAACAGACGGACATGGCTACAACGACTCGGCTATTGCTGTCTAAGAAGTCAAGAGTGGCCTTCCTTTCCCAAAACCAATATGCCTTATTTTGCCCTGTTGCAATGAGTATGTGCCACAAGATTCACAATGTTAACGAACTTTCATGTTGCAGTAACGCACGCCGTCTACGAGGACTGTAAGACACCCCCGCCCGTGGATCATGGCCGTGCAGTGCTATTCGAGAGGGGCCCAGTCAATATCGCCGTCTACAAATGTGCGGCGGGGTATGTGCTGAAGGGTTCCAACGAGCTGCTATGCAATGTGGACAGTGAGGAATGGCAGGGCGAGCCGCCCAGCTGCATCGAGGGCAAGAGCAAAGGCAAGGGTAAGTGAAACGAAGGTTACACAGTTGAGAGATGAGCTCATGATATGAATACTTGGCACAGTGAACACTCATCACAACGAACGCAAGAAGAAAATGCTGCCCGTTCCCGAGGAGCCGAACGTGACCCTCGAGCTAGCCCAGCAGCTGGACTTCAGCTGCATTCAGTCCAAGGTGCAGGCGCCCGAGATCAGCCACGGCATAGTCGCCAAGTACGAGCGACGTCGTCGCGGCGACAAGATCTTCCTGGTGGCCTACTACGCCTGCAACGAGAACTACGACTTTGAGCGAATCCAGGTGCAGGCGCTCTACTGCAGCGCCAGCCAGTGGGTGGGCGAGCTGCCCGCCTGCCTGCCGCGCGTCGAATATCCAGAGGGGGACGATGACGAGGACAACGATGATGACTACGATGAATACGAAACGATTGAGGGCGAGGCAGCCGAGGAACTGGAAAGCGATTCACAATTAGGACAGAGTGTGGAGCCTGTGGCGCCTCCACCACCGCCGCCACCAGTCGAGAAGCAGGAGCCGGAGGCGGAGCTGCTGGAGCCACAAGTTGAGACACAGCCCGAACCGGCCATAAGTCCCGAATCCGAGGCAGCAGTGGAGCCTGCAGTGGAGACAGCCCCCGAGGTGGTGCCAATACTGAACCCAGAGGATGCGGAACCAGAAATTGTGGTGCACGTGAATGAGCCGCAGCCCGAGTCACAACCGGAGTCAGAACAGGAGCCGGACCCAGAGCCAGAGCGGGAGCCGGAAGTCGCAACTGAGGCTGCAGCTGTCACAGACATCAACATTGTTGTGGAGCCCACAAAGGATCCGTATTCGCCACGTCTGCTGGACGAGAGCTGTGGCGAGGATCGCGGCGGTTGCGCCCACAAATGCGAGCGTCTGCTGTTCCCCGGCGAGAATGAGCCGCGTCTCAAGTGCAGCTGCAACGAGGGCTACACCCTGGATCCGCAGGACTATGCCGGCTGTCTTGGTAGGTGCCAACCGCTGGGGCTCTGATAAAAGAGCTGAACTCATTCTTGTTGCTTCCTTTGCAGACATCGATGAGTGCCAGGAGTCCAACGGCGGCTGCTCCCAGATCTGCAACAACCTGCCCGGCAGCCACGAGTGCGCCTGCGAGAAGGGCTACCAGATTGATGCCTCCACCGGAAACAGCTGCGTGGGTGAGTCCTGACCATATTGTGCTCCAAATGGCAACGAGCTAATTCGATTTCTTTAATCTGCAGATATCGATGAGTGCGCACAGCCGGAGCTGGCCGACGAGTGCGCCTACGGCTGTGTAAATACGCCTGGTTCCTATCGCTGTGTGATACCCTTGGATACCAAAGAGGACGCCGACGAGGTGTCCCAGGAAACGGCGCCAGCTATTCCAGTTGAACCCAAGTCTGAGGTTGAGTCGAGTGTGAAGCCGGCCGTGGAGCCTGCGCCCGTGCAGCCCAGCTGCAATCCGGGCTTTGTGCTCGCGCCGGATGCCAGCGAGTGCCAGGACATCAACGAGTGCGACATCGTTGTGGAGGACAACGAGAATGCGGATCATGTGCCGCATCGCGTCTGCCAGCAGCAGTGCGAGAATACGATCGGCTCCTACCGCTGCAGCTGCCGCGAGGGCTACCACCTGCTCGAGGAGGATCAGAGCAGCTGTGTGCCCGACAGTTGCGAGGATCTGGACAATCCGCAATTGAATCGCCTGCGCTGCGCCCACCAGTGCGAGAATCTGCCCAATGGCGGCTATGCGTGCATCTGCCCTGCCGGCTACAAGCTGGACGAAGATTTGCACAACTGCGTGGTGCTGGAGACGGTGTGCAGCCGGGAGCAGGGACACGAACGCTGTCGTCCGGGCAGCTGCCTGCCCAGCGAGGACAACAGCACCTTCAGCTGCCTCTGCCCGCCCGGCTATGCCAGCGAGGTGTTCAGCTGCCAGGATCTGGACGAGTGCGCCCTGGGCACACACAAGTGCAGTCACGATTGCTTCAATACCGCCGGCGGCTATCAGTGCCTGTGCCCGCGCGGCATGTCGCTGCAGGAGCCGGACGGACACACCTGCGTGGCGCCCGATCCCTGTGCGGTCAACAACAATGGCTGCGAGCAGCTCTGCCTGAGCGCCGAGGCCGGCGCCTGCAACTGCAGCAAGGGCTACGTGCTGAACGCCGACAACAAGAGCTGCGACGACGTGGACGAGTGTCAGGTGAACAATGGCGGCTGCCAGCAGCTCTGCCGCAATCTGCCAGGTGCGTATGAGTGTGTGTGTGCCGCCGGCTACGAGCCACTGCAGCTGGCTGGGCACAGCAACTATTGTTTTGACATAGACGAGTGCGCCACCAATAGCTACTCATGTGAGCCGGGCCAGCGCTGCGAGAATCTCAATGGCTCCTACACCTGCCTCTGCGAGCCAGGCTACGCTTTGGGCATCTCATCAACCGCATCATCATTATCATTGTCATCGCCATCATCCTCGCCAGCTTCATCTGCTTCGCTCGCCTGCTTGGACATTGATGAGTGCTCCATGTCGAATGGCAACTGCTCGCATTACTGTATCAATTTGGCTGGCAGCTTTCAGTGCGCCTGCCCGCTTGGCTTTAGCCTGGCTGCGAATGGGCGCCAGTGCCGGGATCAGGACGAGTGCCTGGTGGGCAATGGTCAGTGCGCGCAGCTCTGCCTGAATCAGCCGGGCGGCTTTGCTTGCGCCTGTGCCGACGGCTATCGACTGGCGGCCGATGGCTTTGGCTGCTTGGACATTGATGAGTGCTCTCTGGATTTTGGTAATTGCAGCAGCATTTGCATTAATCTTCTAGGTTCGCATGCCTGCGCCTGCGACAGGGGCTACGAGCTGGCCGCCGATGGGCACAGCTGCCAGGATGTGGACGAGTGCGCCGGCCTGCTCTCCGGCGGCTGCACCCACGAGTGCATCAACAAGCCGGGCAGCTACGAGTGCGGCTGTCCGCTCGGCTATCTGCTGCAGGAGGACGAGCGCAGCTGCCGGCCCGCCATAGTTGGTTGTCCGCCAGGCACGCGTCACACCGACGAGGGCTGCGAACCCATCGAATGCGCCGCCGGCTTGCTGCTCGGCGCCGACGGCACTTGCGTGGACATTGACGAGTGCCGTGTGAACAACGGCGGCTGCTCGCATGAGTGCCTGAATGCGCGCGGATCCTACAAGTGCGGCTGCCCGGCTGGTTATCAGTTGGCCGCCAATGCACGCGAGTGCGAGGATGTGGACGAGTGCGCCGTAGACCAGGCCGGCTGCGAGGGCAGCTGCGTTAATGTGCCCGGCAGCTTCAAGTGCGAGTGCGGGGCGGGCAAGCGATTGTCCTTCGACGAACGCAGCTGCTACGATGTGCCGGCAACTGAGCCCAGGATACCACTGGCACTGCCGCCTCCAGTGCCCCTGGCGCCAGTTGCCCCGGCAGCGCCGCCCGTGATGCCCGTGCGCCCGCTGCCAACTCTAAGACCTTTGACGCCGCCAATCGTTGGATCGGGCTTGCCCGCATTGCCCGCTTTGCCCGGCTTGCCCGGCTTGCAGGTTAGAGATCAGTGTGTGCGCTTCCAGGCGCCGGCCAATGGACAGGCGCACTGCAACAGGTATCGGCACAAGCGCAAGCTCTTCTATAATACGCGCTGCAAGGTACGCTGCAATCCCGGCTACCAGCTGCTCGGCTCCGAGATCAGAAGCTGCGGGGCATCCGGCAACTGGGAGGGACAGGAGAACAAGTGTGTGCGTGAGTATCTGCAGGATTAGACACAAGCCGCTGTTCCTTTAAGTTGTCCACACGTCTTTTCTTACCGCAGCCATTTCCCAGCCACGTCGATGGATGACGGGCAGCTCACGAGCAGCTGCACCCGCTCAGGCTGGCTGTCCAGCGCTGCCGGCGCCGCGCAATGGCGTCATCTCGCCCGCCAGTTGCACCCGTGGCGCCTCCAGCTTTGGCTCCATCTGCCACCTGCAGTGCAACATGGGCTTTGTGCCCGTTGGCGGCATGCTGACCACCTGCATGAACGGCTGGTCCCTGGGCAGCGTGCTGGAGTGCAAGCCCTTCGCCTCGAACTTTTTGAGCAATCAGTTGCCTATAGCGACCCGTGTCCAGGCACCCTGGCAGCAGCAGCCATTCAGACAGCAGTCGACCATTCAACAGGTGCGCCAGCAGCAGATGCCCATCCAGCGGCCAGTTAATGCGTACATCAAGTGCCCGGAGAACGTGGTCATCCTGCTGAATCCGCATCAGAGCAAGGCCCATGTCATACTGCAGCGTCCGGCTACTAATCTGGACTATCGTCATGTGGTTGCCTTTCCGGCTTGGGCTAAGCAGCTTCAGGGTCATCTGCCCGCAGGCACGCATAAGATCGTTTACAGGGCCCACGATCCGGTCACATCCCAGACTGTTGGCTGCCAGACCATCATCACCGTCAAGCAGGCACCAGCTTCGAGTTCCTACTCATCTTTTCCCGTTTTCAGACCGGCTGCAATTCCCGCTTTTAGACCTGCACCACTTCCAGAGTTTCGATCCGCTTCCCTTCCACAGTTCGGGGCAGCTCCAAAACCTTTTGCTAGCATTTTTGATGCATTGCCCACAGTGAGACGCTCCGAGAGCCTGATTGCTGAGCGACCCGCTGAGGAGACACCTTCGCCAAGATCATCCGAGAGCTCTCGCATAGATCTGGGCTCTTCCTCATCCCGCTACTGTCCGCCTTCCTTTGAGGTGTATTTGAAGGAGAACCAAAACCTGCGCTCCGTTGTCTGGGAAGAGCCGCGTTTCGAGGGCAAGCTCTTGAAGATCTACAAATCATCTGTAAGTACAGCAAATGGAGCTATTTCCGAACTCTTAGAACCAGCTTATTTCTTGAAAATATCCACAGTTCCCTGGCGCACTGTTCGGGCGGGGTGATCATGACATCAAGTATGAAGCCACCACCACGGATGGCCTGACCCTGACCTGCAGCTTCCAAATTCGAGTCAAGGGTGAGTAGACAGCCGCGAATTCAGCCTGTCTGCACTTCTTCTATACAAATCCCCTAACATGTATTTATACCTACATGCACGCATTTAGTTATATCTTTATTCTATAGTTTTTATCTATCTACAAAAATCTATGGCTTTATATAACGAATATACTCCCTTTAATTATATATATATTCCCTTTAATTATACATTTATACCTATTCGTTACCCACTTTTATACCTATTTGTTAAGCTAAACGCCATATTTAAATCTATTTTTATACCTCTATACTCTTCACGCTTTATTCATGCCAATATTTATGCCTTTCTAGCCGCTGAACCCACCCCCGCCCCCAACCATGCCGAGATAAGCTATCCGGACCTGTCCTCTGCCCCCGCAGCACTCACTGAGCCCACGCACAGCAGCCTCTTTGCTGGCCACGAGTCGTATGTGGTTTGTCCCGGCAAGGAGCCGGTCAAAGTAACCGCCAGCCAATCCGTAAGTCCAAACAACCACAATTCAGAGCAGCTGCCTCATGCGGCGTCTCGCCAATATCGCTTCCAAAGCCAAAGCATCTACTAGCTGTAATGCGAGAAACCAAGCGAAGGTTTGGCAAAGCATCTAACGTCTGAATGCAAAATAAAGCCTAAGCTCATTTGCATATGTATTTGTATATATGTATCTGTAACTGCAACTATTTGTATCTCTATCTGTATCTAGGTCAATCTGCCCGTGGGCTGCACTCTGAAGAATGTGCGCTCACAGACGTCGACACAGGCGCAACCGAAACGCGGCCTCCTCACCTCGCTCTGGCGTCAATACAATAATTTCTAATTATTTATAATTATTAATAAATAATTTCTAAATAATGATTTATTTTTTGTAAAGAACATTTGTAAAACTACATGAATTTTTGATACATTTTTTATGCAAATTATTTTTGGATATCTCTTATGCGTAATTTAAATAAATATTTTAATGAAATGTACTTAGCGAAATTTTCTTCTTTACTCACCTGTAAGTTCACACGCTTATTAACAAAAAGAAAAACATAAATATCTATGTATTAAAATACATTACCTATTTATGTTGATTATACGTACCAGTTTCTTTATTGTCCACTGCCAAAGCTATAACCACTGCCTTCACCCTGGTTGAATTCGCCTCCTCCTTTGCTTAAGTTGCCGGGCCGTCCAATATTAAAGCCCCCGTCTCCTCCTGTTGTTAAGTTGTCGTATGTACAGACATACATGCGTACATATGTACATATAAATACATACATGCATACACACATACAAATACATACATACGCATACATATATACATGCGAACCTCCATGTATGAATTCATGCATATATACATACATACATACACATATACATACACAGACATACATACATACATGCATACATATATATATGCATACATGCATAATTGCATACATACATACATACATACATGCATAAATGTATACATGCATACACACATGTACTTATATGTACATACAAACATGCATGCATACATGCATACGTACATACACGCATACATACATACATATACACGTACATAAAGACATGCATACAAACATACAGAGGCACAAGCAACCCTACCTTTTTACAAACACAACTCTAACAAGACTACAAACACTACACACACAAGTTACTATAAACTAATGAAAGAAATTGTAAGGTTTACTTGTATTTTTGAGAATCACATAATAGGGCATTAGTCAAAAATATATTTCTTTCAAATTTGCAATGCATCGATAAGTTAAGTACATACGTACATGCATACATGCATACATGCAGATATGCAGACATGCATGCTATATAAGTACATGCAAACAAATATATATACATATAGCGTATTCTCCCAGGCATTGGCCGTGTTTACTTAACTTAAAACAAAAATTTTAAACATCACTTTTTCATAAGTTTCAATCAACTGTTTACGCAGTCAGTCAGTCTGGCATTTATTCAATCAGTCAGTCAGGACAAACAGTTTTATATATAGAGATAATATTTTGAAGCTGTAAACTTAAACAATAACTTTTATTATTCATAAAGGTGTCTACAACTCGCGCTACATAACTTACACATTTGATTACAAAAGAATTTGTTTGTCGTAATTGTCATGGGTTATTGCATCAGTTTTATTTTTGGGAACAGAAGCAAGCAATTTGAGCTTTGTCGCAGCTAAATGCAATGCTGCATTATCTCGACAAGAGAGTATGAGAGAGGGGGTACGGAGCGAAGCCATAAAAAGCTGCAAAAAGCATATAAAAAAATAATAACAATATAATAAATAGTCTAAAAATTGAACTTTTTGTTTCCGAGTACTAAAAACAATTTGTTAAAACGTATTTAAATATTTGAAACTGTACGTTTATCTTAATTTTAAAACAAATCAATTCAAATCCTATATTATTTAATACCACATCCAATTCAAATAGTTCAAAAGATGGCGATCCAGCCCCAAAGTACAAAAACTTTGGTCCCAACTTTTGCCTTTATCTAATAATATTTGATAGATGTTACGTATGGGTACAAATCAAATTTAGCCCGCATTTTGTATATGAAAATATTCAAAGCTTGCAATATTTTCAGTGCAAGGGGCAATTGTTTAATGGTAATAGTGCTTAATAATATAATGATAAGAAATAAATAAATATAATTAATTGGTATAGTTCAATTCTAAGTTGTGCGCAGTTTGTAATCTCGCGTTGATAATATAATAAATTAAATAAAAAATCGTTGACGAGGCAAGGTTTGAACCAGCACAAGGGTTTAAAAATTTAAAAACGAAGGTAATTATGATTATATGCACTTGCAGGAACTGAACTAAAACAAGGGTTCAAAAATTGAGAAAACAAACCAGAAAGTATATATATTTATTTTGGGTTTGCAGCAGAGTAAAATATTCGCCCGATAAAAATGACAACATGAGGCAAACGTGTGTTGCAGCTTCGAGCCGAGTGTTGCAGATGCGTTCCACAAATTACGATCCACACTCACAGAATCGCGTAGAGCCCGCTAAAAAGGGGTCTCATTGTTTGAATGAAAGCTGATTTTGCACATATGTCAGTTGGAGGGGGCATTAGTAGTAGTAGTAGTTGTTGTTGTTGTTGTTGTTGTTGACAACTTGATAAGCAACTGCGTGCCACTTGCTGAAAACTCAAGACAGGTTGCCGACTTAATCAAAACACTATTTTGATAGTCGTTCGTTTAGCTGTGGAACTCGCCTGTTTTAGAAGGCTTTTGCACTGCTTTAAATGCCGTCTATAAAACTTTATTTACCTCTAATAATTGCCCAGAAATGCCGTTGAACCCGTTTGGCTAGAACCTGTCATTAGAATTTTGATTATTTTGTAGCTATTTTCAATATTGTTTTTTTTTTCGCAAAATTTAAACTATTTAACATAAAGAAAGACCACAAGCGGCGCATGTTTTTGATAACAATTATGCTCCTCATGCCCATATAGACTTTTTTATGTTCGACTCCGGTACACGGCCCAACCGAAGCTATATAGAGACGCCAGCTGATAACCCCCGAGCTCGGCGTGGATGCCGTTCTATGATCGCCCCATTCGCGTATGCTCTGTGCTCGGTTTTGGTTGTATTGTGTTGTTATTATTGATATTATTGCCTCACAGATTAGCTTAGAGCTGGGCCTCTGGCTGAAGTCTATAAAAGCATCTGAATGGCACAGAAACCAAATCAGTTTTAAAGCGTGTGTTCTGCGTTGCGTTCGCATTGCTTTTGTTTTTGTTATTTTTTCAAGAAACGTTCTCTACTCAAAGAGCATCCGTGAGTCAATCGAGACACAGTAGCAAAAATGTATCAGCGTCAAGTTTCCTTCGATAAGGTTGGTTCACGACGCAGTTCCTGCAAATGCGTACAATCAATACACACGAATAAATCTGTATATTTCCATACTGAAAGTGAAAATCTACATAGGAAACAAATACAATTAACAACTAATTAGTCCCAAGTGCAAAAACAATAAAAATTGGTCAATATAAATTAAGTAAAATATTATAAAAATTCATAGAAAATAATTTAACCATTCTAACAAACATATTAAGTGAACGATACTATTCTTGAATCTAAACGTCAAGCTTTGTGACTCTTAAAACCGAAGAAATGTGCTCTAAAAACAGGATTTCGATATCAAGTCTTAGATAGGAAAAGATGATCGATTATCGAAAAAAGAGTTTGTTCGAAACTTCAAGTCTTAAGCTCTTATAGATTTTGAATTCCTTGTACACAGACAGATGGACATGGCTAGATCAACTCGCCTATCAATTGGAGTATATATACCTAATAAGGTTGTCGATGCTTCCTTCTGCCTGTTTCATACATTTGCACAAATACATTTTACCCTTTTTAACTATTTTCAATAGATTCAGGTTGGGTTTTTTATACACTTCAGAAATGCAGTGAAAATTAAGCAAAATTATTTAACATTCTTAAAGAGAGTTCTTTTATAGTTTAAAAATTTGTTTTTGACTAGAAAAGGCTTTAAATCTGAAATTAAATTAACCTAACTTTTTAGCCATGCACAATAAGAGATAGTTGTTTATAGAGCTTTACCATTTCGGGCACAAAGACAGAATATTTGAGCACAAGTGAGTTTCGTGAAAGAGAGTTTGGCTTAAGAATCAAGTTCTAGGTAATATTCATGGCTTTGGCCCTCGGATGGGGCATTGCGGTTAGACCTTCGAGTTAAGTCTTGGGCCGTTGGCGACCTTTGTAATCTGAGCGAAACAGAAAAATCCCATGACGCTAATATCTGTTTGCAATGCCAGAGCAGCAATGGCAATAACATGCCTATTATATAGAACATTAACCGATTGATTGATGGGCCGTTTGGCGCAGCCGATGCCTATCTGATAACCATGTCTGGTTATTATGCAAACAGATTGGCATACAAATTGATAAGCACAAGTGGTCATTATTTCTACTATTGTTGTTGTTATTGTTGTTCTTGTTGTAGCCAACTCGCATGGAGGACTCTGCGTATATAGCGGAGGGCGTGGACATGCGGGAGGCGCGCAACACGTGCCTGCTGTTCTCGCCGAAGGACTCGTCGCTGGCCAGCGGCGCCTTGGCCAACACGTTGGCCATCTTCAAGAAGCACGACATCAATCTGGTGCACATCGAGTCGCGCTCCTCGCTGCGTGTGCCCGGCTACGAGTTCTTTGTGGAGTGCGATGGCAAGTCCGGCGCCCTGGGCAAGGCCATCGAGGACTTGAAGGAGCAGTGCAGCTACTTCAACATCATATCGCGCGATTACAAGGACAATGCGACGGCTGTGCCCTGGTTCCCGCGTCGCATACGTGATCTGGACCGTTTCGCCAATCAGATTTTGAGCTATGGCGCGGAGCTGGACTCTGACCATCCGGGCTTCACAGATCCCGAGTATCGCAAGCGTCGCAAGTACTTTGCGGACATTGCCTATAATTACAAGCACGGGGAGCAGCTGCCGCATGTGGACTATACGAAGGAGGAGATCGAAACGTGGGGCATCATCTTTCGCAATCTGACCAAGCTTTACAAGACGCACGCTTGCCGCGAATACAATCACGTCTTTCCCCTGCTGGTGGACAACTGCGGCTTCCGTGAGGATAACATACCACAGCTGGAAGATGTCTCCAATTTCTTGAGGGGTAAGTAGATCTGGTGCTCTTTCTCTCCTTGGATTTCTATATATACCATCTCGTCTTCTTGGCCAGATTGCACGGGCTTCACTCTCCGTCCGGTGGCTGGCCTGCTCAGCTCTCGCGATTTCTTGGCTGGTCTGGCGTTCCGCGTCTTCCATTCTACCCAGTACATCAGGCATCCCAGCAAGCCCATGTACACGCCCGAGCCGGATGTCTGCCACGAGCTGCTAGGTCATGTGCCCCTCTTCGCCGATCCGGCCTTTGCCCAGTTCAGT